GAGCAAACCTTTGCAGCATTTTATGAATTTGCTGGCTTAACCAAGCAACGTATACAACGCAAAAACTCTACCCCATGAAGTACTGTTGCTCTTTCATTTGCCTTTTTTCTCAAGCAACACGTAGTTACTATGCAAATGAGTTCATATTTCAATGTATGTTTCCCACCTCCACCCCTCCCCCAAATTTTGATTTCTAAAAACAGTTTTAAGATAGAAAAATGTGGAGGTTTTCCTAAACCTCTGAGACCCTCCCTTACAGTGTTTATATGGCATCCTGCTTTTTTGCTTTTATTGGAATCTGCAGCAAGAACATGAATATTTAGGCTTCTTTGTTCTATGTGTAAAAATTGAGTCAACTTTTCCAAAAACTTGGAAAATCTGCTTCATATCTTTTTCCATATAAGATTCGTCAACATCTCCATGTTTGTGTTCACATGGAAAGACAAACATGGCAGATTTCTTTATTTGACAGACTCTTTCTCCTTCTCCAACAATAATAATACCAATTGTTATATTTGTTATTTAACACCATCAAACAGCCACAACTGCCTATCCCAAGTGATTGGGAAGGGTTGGGATTAGGGTTAAAATCCAGTCTGAATATTTGGCTGACTCTGCGATGAATAATAATTATTTGTTAACCTTTCCTACGTACAATTGCTGTTATCAGATCAATACAATGTGATTTCTTTAAATATAGCTAAATTTTGCTTGTGAAATTAAGCAGACTTTGATTACACCAACAATCCACCACTAATTGTAATATATTATGAATGGAATAGAATAGAATAGAATAGAATAGAATAGAATAGAATAGAATAGAATAACAGAATTGGAAGGGATCTTGGAGGTCATCTAGTCCAACCCCCTGCTCAGACAGGAAGCCCTATACTATTTCAGACAAATGGTTGTACAATCTCTGCTTAAAAACTTCCATGTTGGATCATTCATCACTTCTGGACAGTGAATTTCCTGACAGCTAGAACAATTAATCTGTGGCACAACTTGCCTCCAGAAGTTGTGAATGCTCCAACACTGGAAGTTTTTAAACAGAGACTGGACAACCATTTGTCTGAAATGGTATAGGGTTTCCTGCCTGAGCAGAGGGTTGGAATAGAAGACCTCCAAGATCTCTTCCAATTCTGTTATTGTATTGTATTGTATTGTATTGTATTCTATTCTATTCTATTCTATTCTATTCTATTCTATTCTATTCTATTCTATTCTATTCTATTCCTAAAGTTGAACAGGAGAATTAACAATTATTATTATTAAACTTTGAGCATGTTTAATCAAACCAAAACTGTTCCTAGTGAGGTCTTGCCAGATCTTGCTGACTATTAAACAGAGCTTGATGACTTTCCTATAATAAATCATTCAGATCAGCTAAAAGATAATTGAGATAAAAAAGTGTGTACGGCTTGGGCAAGGTTAAGGAAGATGTAATAAATTTGTGTTACAGATCTTGATAAGGTTGAAAGGAATGGTTCCTGATTTACAATGACAAAGGCATTCATGGCATGGAATCTTCTGGAATCTCTCAGCCAAAAGGAAGCTTGGAGAGCAATAAATAGTGTTATATATCAAGCATTTGTTTACATGCTTTTTCAAGCCTTCCAAGTTGCTGCTGAGCCCAAGATCCTGTGGAAGTGATTTCCATATGTTAATTGTGGCCATTCCATCAAACCTTCTGCCTTACCCCTAATATTCATCCCAGTAGCTTTGTTCCAGATGGTCCCTCATTGGTCATACTTGTTTCTAGTGAAAGAGCATCCCGTTCTCATCCAGCTCTGCTCTACTCCATCCTTCTTCTTCCTTTGTTAGGAAAATATATACCTGACCCAACACAAAAATTAGCAGGTTTTGATGCCACCCACTAACGCTGGAAAACTCTGACTAGGATTCGTATCTTGCATTGCATCTATCAAGATTCTCTATGTAAATGGGGCAGAGTATCCTCCACTGAAGAAAACTAGACTTCAAAGAACATGGTGGCTGCACACTATCAAAGCTGACACCAACCAGAGCATGGAAAAACTCAAAGAAGTAGTGCAAGATCAGATGACATGGAGAGACCTGACACAGAGAATCGCCAAGAGTCAGACAGGACTGAATGGATAATTACTATCTTCTTCTTCTTCTTCTTCTTCTTCTTCTTCTTCTTCTTCTTCTTCTTCTTCTTCTTCTTCTTCTTCTTCTTCTTCTTCTTCTTCTACTACTACTACTACTACTACTACTACTACCACCATCACCATCACCACCACCACCGTCCTCTTCCCCTAAATGTGACTGTGCTGCTCCTCGCCAGACACTGGATCATATAATGAATAGCTGCTATCTGAAAGCTTATACAGAGGAAAAGCAGATGTCTGCAACTAACAAATACTGCACTTAATTGGATAAATGGCCTAGATACTAATAAATGGAACACTTATTCCATTCTCATGAACCAATGTACTTCAAAGCATAACCTATAACTTATTTATGACTTCTTGAATTCCTCATGCTTTACAAAATTGACTACCTATCCCCCTCATACGTGTACCATAGTATCAGGGGCTCCTTTTATACTGTATATTCTTACCACTGTTATCCAGGTACTCTATGCCATGCACTAAATAAATAAATAAAACACCCCTTTGTCATGTTTGCTTTCCCCAACGATGAAATAAGAACACCCAGCCATTGGATGGGAAGGGTGAGAGAGAAAGCTTTACTTGAAAGCAGATGGAGAGGATGGGAGATGGGTGTATGTATCACAGTACCCATGGGTACAGAAGGAAAGGGCAGTTCCCACTAAATGGGAAGAAATTGCTGCTTGTTTCCATAGGAAGCACAGCAAAATTGGCTGGGAGTGGAGTGATAGTAGATTGCAAATTGCACGCTCTGTGGCATAACAGGGAAGGGAAATAATTTTGAATTGGCATTTTCCCTGATCCTAGAAAAGGCGTCTCTGGGCTGTAGGAAAAACTTAATTTTATCTCTCCTGAATCTAATAGAATAACAGCGTTGGAAGGGACCTTGGAGATCTTCTAGTCCAACCTCCTGCTCAAGCAGGAGATCCTATACCATTCCAGACCAGTGGCTGTCCAGTCTCTTTTTAAAAGCCTCCAGTGATGGAGCACCCATTACTTCTGAAGGCAAGCCATTTCCCTGGTTTAATTGTTTTCACCTTTAGGAAATTTCTCCTTAATTCCAGGTTGCTTCTCTCCTTGATTAGTTTCCATCCATTAGTTTCTTGTCTTGCCTTCTGGTGCTTTGGAATATAGGTTGACCCCCTCTTGTTTGTGGGAGCCCCTCAAATATTAGAACATGGCTATCATGTCACCTCTAATCTTTCTTTTCACTAGACAATTCCTGCAACCATTCTTCATGTTTTAGCCTCCAGCTCCCTAATAATCTTTGTTGCTCTTTTCTGCACTCTTCCCAGTGTGTACAGTATAATATGGTGATCAAAACTGGATGCAATATTCTAAGTGTGACCTCTCTCAGAGTTCAACTTCATTTTAGCCTGGTCACCTGGATTTGATACCTGGAAAGTATGAAGCGTTTAGGAAAATTTACAGGCAGCACCCAAAGCTTGTAGATGAGAAGAGCTGTTTTCTTTTTCTGCGGAACAGAGGATATTGCTGCTGTCCTAGTCTTTTTGGCAAGAAGTCATGAAGTATGGGTGGGCTTGTTTGTGTGAGTATGCACTGTTGTTTTCTTAGTGCGTAGCATAAGCTGAGAGTCGGAAGAAGTTACAATTACAAGGGAAGTCCTGATGGTGATCCTTAATGAATTGCAGAACAATAACAAACCTTCTAACAGCTATAAAACTTTCTTTGATGTGAGGTTAAGGTTAGAGGGAGCCTTTGGACTCTATGAGACAAGAAAAACTTATCTTCAGAAGATGGGAATCCATCAGTGGGTTTCAAACAATGAGGAAGTTAGTTCTGCTGAGGAAGAACATCCAAGGGATTAGCTGGACTTATCCAAAAGATAAGTAAATACCTAGTATTCTTGGACAACAGTTCATCTTCCTGTGATGTTACCAGAAATGGGCAAGAAAATAATTCCTTTTTTGTTGTTGTGCAATATATAATTTTTATGAAGGATGTGCTTCAAGCAATAACAGACAAATTGAAAAGAAAAAAAAAGAGAAGAAAGAGTAATAAAGAGAAGGAAAAAAGTAGAACAACTAATACAGTGGTTCTCAACCTTTCTAATGCCGCGACCCCATAATACAGTTCCCCATGTTGTGGTGACCCCCAACCACTTATACATCACCGGGTGCCAGGGGCGTGGCCAAAGAAAAGGGGGGGGGAAATGGCAGACAGCCTTGTTTGGCGACCCCCGTGAAATGGTCGTTCGACCCCAAATGGGGTCCCGACCCACAGGTTGAGAACCACTGAACTAATAGAACAAAAGTCAGAAAAATAAGCGACTTTCCAATCTCCTTTGCAACAGAAATTAGCAACCTAGGCCTAACCTTCTTCCTTTATAGTACAAAAATCCCTCCGGCCCCTTAATTAGCCCCTAAATTATCCCTTCACTTTCAGCAAAAAAGTCCATGAAAGTTTTTCAATCTTCTAAAAAGGTCCTTGTTGTTTTGTGCCTGACCCAAATAAGTCAGTTATGGTTGTGAAACCCTTCTGGAAGGAATTCATTTGGGGAAACTGAATAAAATCCAGCAGGACTTTTCTTAACTGTTTTCCTTTCTCCGTGGTGAAAATAAGAACTGAAAAAAAATATGGCTCGATTATCAATTTCTCAACAAATCCCAGGCAATTTATCTTGCTAGTTTTTAGTGTATTATTGTATTTATTTGTTTCACTCTGGGTTTTGTTCTTTTAAATTTTGGTGAGCGTGAACTGAATAAATATTGATTGCTATAAAGAGAATAGAGAGAGTAGTAGCCTTAAGAAAGTTTCAACCCTTATCCTCAAGGATCCATCCAGAACAAAATTCACCCATTCTTCAGTGTAACATCTTATGTTTCTTTTTTCCTGTTTTCCCAGGGACCTAAAGAACAATTTGATTAGCACCATTCAGCCTGGAGCTTTTCTGGGTCTTCATGGCCTGAAACGCTTGTAAGTAATCTTTTCAACTTCTCTGGAACAGCTAATTTCCTGCTCTTGATTCTTTATTCTGCAACATACCTTTTATACTTACATATGAATCCCATATTCCCCACCCCCAATTGCTTAACCTCCAAGCCCAGAGCCATTTCAAAAACTTTAAGTAATCTGTAATCTGTCCATAACTCATAATGCCTGACTGTTTACTATAAGTGTCAGTTTCCTGATAATTTCAACAAAGACGCATGTGGTCACCATCTTCTGAGCTGGGTGTTTATTTTCCCAAAAGTAATTGCAAAGCATACTTGAAAAAAAAACAAAACAAATCTATCCTTTAATTCTCCGCTGGTCCTAGCTGGTTATCCTCATTCGAGTGCACTTTTTTTTAAAAAAGGTTCTGGTGATTTCATGGATATGTCCATGCAGTTGTTTTGTCAACAATACTAAAATGATTGGCCATGTTTTGTTGTTGAGATTTGTGTTATTACTTTTCACTCTAGACTATCATCTCAACATTCCTAATGGTCTCCCAACTATGCTGATTCTGCATAGTTTTTTGAGATTAATGAAGAACTAGATGCTGACATTTAGATGTGCTCAGTACACAATTCAAGATGTACAAAGTGTTTCAGCCCAGCTCAGACTATCCTATGCCAACTTTAAAATGTCCCATAAAGAGAAACCTAGTATACTCTTAATATCCATGACTGTTCACGGTTGTCTATGGCTCTCCCTTTTTCTCATTCCTGCACAGGGATCTCTCCAACAACCGTATTGGCTGCCTCAACTTTGGCCTCTTCCGGGGACTGCCCAGCCTTATCCGTCTGTGAGTATTCAGTGGCAATGGGTGAAGGTATGGTTTGATTGTGAGCCTCTGTACATGTGTTGGAAACAGGAAACCCTCATTTCTCACCTCTGTCTTCCGAAATCTGGATCCTCCCCAAAGCTGTGAAGGTCACCTTCCAGAATTCCCACTTGGCAAGGGCCAAGATTGACAGTTCTGATGGCTGAAGTCCACATAACTGAAAACTGTTCTGGTTGGAGAAGACTGGTTCAAAGAATGCTGCTTGAGCACAGAGGCCAAGCATGATGGTTTTGCTCTTCTTTCATTATTCCTTTTCAACTTATTTTGTAAAGGAGTCCTCAGATTTGAAAGGGGAGGCTGAGGGGTTTATAAGAAATACTTCAGATTGCGATCTATGGATTTATGAACCCAACCACCCATACCAACAGTTGCAGTCTCATTAGGTCTTTCAGTTAAAAAAAAAAAAAACATTGAATACTTTTGGCAACTTTTACTTATTGATGTTCTTTAGATAAATTCTTAAACTTAGTTACAGTATCTACAGCTATTAGTCATAGTGATGATTCACCCTTAAGATAAAAGCAGTGGGTTACTGTGGGAAAGAGTAGAAAGAGGTTTATTGCTCTGACATCTGTCCTGGGTTTCTGGGGCTGTCTTAGATTGCTTGCTGGCAATTGGAGAGGACAGGAAGGTGCTGGATGAGATGGCCCTTTGGTCTGATCCAGCAAATCTCTTGGTTATTTTATAGTCATTTCTTTTAGCTTTTATACCTATACGTTCTGTGAAAAGTTCCTAGAGGAACTTACAGAACAATAAAAGACAGAAGTCCCTGTCTTTGGGCTTACTAATTAAGGAAGAAATGGTACAAGAGGGACAAGGGATAGGAAGGGAATAAGAAAAGTAGGAAGCTCAGGCATTATATGCAGTAATTCTGTTTTGTATTATAGCCAGCTGTTATAGGAGTGAGCAACCTAGGGAGGCTCAGATAGACATTCTCATCCCTAGAGCAGATGGTCTTGGGTTGGTGCTGTTCTTCTTTGCAAGCTCCTAATAGATTCTGTAGGAGAGAACTCCAGTCAGAAACAGCAACAACAATCGGACGTGTTTATGCTGTATGGTCTCCTGCCATGGCTTCTGTTCTTGCCTCCCCCCAAAATAAATTAAACCCTCTATTGCATTCCTTTGTTCACAGTAAATTTATGGAATCCATAGCCAAAAGATGAAGTGAGGGTAATTGACTTTAATTAGTAAAAAAATATATACCATCATTTGCTTTGAGGGCTCTGTGGAGCTGTGATATTCAGAGAAAGGATGTTTTTCTCTCTAAGTACGAGTTGCAAAGAGGATAAGATTCCTACCATCTAAAGACTTCTCTGAAGCACGATGAATCTGAACTTAGGTTGACCTCTTGGTCTGATCCCATAAGTTTTATCTTGTTTTGCTATCATCTCTTTGACAGGAACATATCAGGAAATATCTTTGCCACCCTCCATAGTGGAGTCTTTGATGAGTTGCTGTCTCTGAAAGTTCTGTAAGTATTTTTCCTTTTGTTGGTCAAAGGAAACAGCAGAGAGGAAGCAGTTAACTTTTTGAAGTGATTAATGCTGGGGTTGGTGGGACCTCTGAGTCTGCATGGAAAGCCATGCTCAGACACATTGTCTTCCTCTTCGAAGCCTTCTGGGGAGAATAGACCAAGCCATCACCCAGCTATGGACAAGGTTCCTCCATGTTCACTGTGCTACCTCAAGATGCTAGAACTTTCTAGAATTTTTTTAAATTTTATTTTTTGTTCTCCAGGGGTGGACAGGCATCTCTTTCTGCTCTTTCCTGTCTAAATATTCCTCACCGGCACTTCTTCTTCAATTTGTATTTCTCTTGTTCTCCAGTGACTTTGCCAATGAATATCTGACCTGTGATTGCCATTTGCGCTGGGTCCTAGCCTGGTCCAAAAGCCATTTTGTCCAGGTATCTGATAAGACGGTGTGTGTCTACCCCAGCCACTTGCACGGGAAGCTACTACGAAACATCAGAGAGAGTCAACTGCGCTGTGGTGAGGCACCCTCCTGAGTGAGTGAGTTTGCTTGGTGTGCACAGGAGATTTGTTCAGTAGTCCAATGCTACTTTCTCCTTCAGGGATACCTCCCTTCTTCTACTCCATCCTTCATTCAACAGATGGTTGGCATGCTAGTACCGCTTAGCATGGGTTATCCATGAAGGGATGAAGGGAGTGGTGGTCAGCTGCAAACCTCTGCAATTGATAATCTTCTCAGGTTTGATTACTGAAAGATGAGAGCTCAACATGTAAAGCGTGTCTACTTCAGTTTGTAATCCCAAGGGAACTTCAGAGTGGTTTACCAAAAACCTCACCCCCAGCCCCCACGTCAAGCAAAGCAACATGATTCCTCTAGGATGCTTGCAGGGAAAAATTCCTGAGGTCATCTTCTCTCAGCTGATGGGTGTCCTCAATATGGCTCTTCTTTCCCACAGTATAGCCTGAGTAGCTGGCTCTCCTTCACCATCCATGATGGAAAGATGTTTTTCCTTGCTGGCAGCTCTTAAAAGCAGCAGAATCTCACTCAGATGAGCAGTGCTGTAAAGTACAATCCCCAGATACCTTGCAAAAATTTGGCAGACGTGGAGTAGTGTAGCAGCAAAGCAGAGAGGCAGCTTTGGAAACGTGTGATCCTTGGGCCAGTCTGTACACATTCTGTCATTCAGCGTACAGTTTCATGTTGACTTCATGCAGAATTTGGTGGCGTGATAGCTCAGTGGTTAAGATGCTGGGCTCGTTGGCTGGCAAGCCGGCAGCCCAGGTTTGAGACCTGAGCTCCACACGACAGGGTGAGCTCCCGTCCTCACCCCCGCTGGTGCCAACCTAGCAGTTTGAAAGTATGCACATGCAAGTAGATGAAAAGGTACCACTTTGGTGGGAAGGTAACACTGCTCCGTGGAGATGTCTTCGGACAGCGCTGGCTCAATGGCCTTGAGACAAAGACGAGCACTGAACATAGTTGGCCATGACGAGCGGAGTAAAATATGCGGGAACTCCTTTACTTTTTTACCTTTTACCTTTAGAATTTAGCAACTTTTCTTTCTTTTTCTTTTTCCTTTTTAAGCGCAGTAACCATATGAACATTGAATTAATGAAATAATAAAAGCAGGATTTAAAAAAAAATCTTAGAAAAAATCCAAGTAGACATATAAACAAGCGTTCTGGGTATCTCCTTCTGGATGTATTGATTTCTTTTCTTTGAAGGGTTGAGCATAACTGACTTTGACTGCTGACCAAGTGGGCCTTTTGATAGGAAGCTTTCAGGGAGACGGTCCAGGACACCACTGATTTAGGCTTTCTTCTCTCCCTTTCTCTAAAGCCTAAGTAAGGTCTTCTCTCTCTCTCTCTCTCTCTCTCTCTTTTACCCACAGAAGGATCCCCAGAGCTGCACACTCATCAGCTAATCCCCTCCCTGAGGCAAGTTGTCTTCCAAGGAGACCGACTCCCTTTCCAGTGTTCAGCCACCTATCTGGACAACAGCACACACATCCTCTGGTATCACAACCATGCACTGGTACAAGAAGATGAACCTAGCGGCATCATCTTAGAGGACAGCCTCGTTCACGATTGCACTTTAATCACAAGGTACTAGGGCAGGGGTGTCAAACTCAATTTCATTGAGGGCTGCATCAGCATTCCAATTGCCCTGGGGAGGGTGGGGGGGCGCCTACTGGGTGGGCGTGGATGGAGTGGGTGTGGCCTGCTGGGGGGGCATGGCCAGCTCTACATCGTTCACGTCAAGGGGGCCTGTAGGGGCCTGGGCAGGAGTGGGACAGATCTGAGGGTCTCTGGCAGGAGGCATGGTCCATTTCTTCATTCCTCACAAAGGGTGACACCTCCCCAGCATGCACCCAGGGGGCAAGGCCGATGCGGCAGGGGCGGTTCCTCGCTGTTTCCAGATGGCCTTGTGGAGCTAAGACTGAATGCATTTCAGCATAGATAGCCACCACAAAATTGTACATGGGCTCCCGGCCGGCCTGGGCCAGGGCCAAGGCAGTGGGGGCTGTTCCCTCACTGTTTCCAGGATGGCTTCGCGGGCCACATGAAACCACTTCGCGGGCCGTATCCAGCCCCCGGGCCTTGTGTTTGATATGTCTGAGCTAGAGGATGAGCTGGGTGGGTCAAAGAGGGAAAAGTTGTTTCCTGGTTGTTTCCAGTCTTTGGTCTAGCATTGGGCAGGTTGATTTCCACCAACACAGTCATTGGGTGAATTGATTTTGACTAATACCAGTAAGAACTAAGGTTTAGAAAGAATGTCTTGTTGATTCACACATAAGCAATAACTTCAGGGATGGACATATAACCATTTAGCTCACTTTTTTGTAGTTGGGTTTGACTTGATTCCAAGCAAAAGATCCTGGAAAGAAGACTGGTGGCTGCCTTCTTGGTGGTGGCACTCTGTTCTGGAATTCCCACCCAAACTGATTTGCCCAGTGCCAACACAGCTATCTTTTCAAAGCTTATTCCTTCAGGCATTTGCAGATATTTGAATGCATTATTCTTTTATGTTTAAATATGTATGTAGTTCTTTTTATCCTACTCACCCAGAAGGCAGTAAATAAATCTATTAACGGGAAAATAACTTAGTAGATTTCTGTCTTTGGCTTCACTTTGGAATTCTCTCTGGTCACTTCCAACCCCCCCAATAAATACTGTATACCCTCCCCCATGTTTAAAGACCTCTATAGGGCATTACAAAGGAAATACCTGTAGGTTTGGGTGATCTGTATGACATTATAATTAATTAATTAATTAATTAATCTTACTTGAATGCTGCTAATAAATCTGTTCTGTATCAAACTCTGAAAACTTTTCTGTTAGGATGGGATATAGAATAGGATTCTGTTGGATCAAGAATATAAAAAATGTTTTGGAAAAGATGGATGCATGCTTTCCACAGGTCTCATCACCTCCTTAAAGTAACCATGCCTTCTCCTGCACAACCATGATAGGAAAGTAGGCATTTTAATTAGCCATGCAGTAGGATCTGTTGATGCCTTCTAAATCAAATGCGTATATTCCTGGGATTATGTGGCTCCCTGTAAGCCTAGAGAAAGGCAGTACTTCAGGAGGCACTAAGAGATGCAGTGGGCATGTTCACACCTCTTCCAAAGTTCCTGCTTCAGTTCCCAGCAATTATATATTGCTAATTCTGTGTGTAAAGACTGTGATGTAATGAGAGGAAATATGGATTGGTCAACATGGGTTGACTGTCAGCCCATGTACTCTTCTAAAAGCACTCTCTGTTTGCAGTGAGCTCATCCTGTCCAACATCCATGTCTCGGCTAGTGGTGAATGGGAATGCACCATCTCCACTGCCCAGGGCAACGTTAGCAAGAAGGTGGAGATCGTTGTGCTGGAGACCTCAGCCTCGTACTGCCCACCGGAGCGGGTTACCAATAACCGTGGAGACTTCAGGTAGGGGTCAAAGTGTGGCAGAAGCTATTATCGCGAGCAGAACCGACCATCTGGGTTCCCCAGACTGGTCCAGAATTCTACTCATTTAGCATGGGCCAATGTGGGAAGAAATTGTCTCAACAGGGAATGGTTTCGTTTTGCTCTATCCCTTTATGTGTTCAGTTGCTGGAGAATCAACTTTTAAAGAAAAACAGGGTGGACATTTGAAATCAATGATAACTTACATCAGCGGTCCCCAACTTTTTGGGCACCAGAGACCAGTTCCCTGGAGAGAGGTTTCGTGCTGCCTGCATTCCACAGTTGGGGCTTACGTTTCTGGCATATCTCTGGCCCGGTGTTGGTTCATTGACCAGGGGTTGGGGACCCCTAACAGATAAACGAGTGAAAGATTCGAGGTTTACGAAACAAGAGTGTGAGTCGCAGCCAAGAAATTTAAAAAAAAAAACAACCCAAAGCTGAATATCTGGGGAACAGCCAGTACACTTGAGTCTGGCAAATCCAATTTTTCCTAATTAGTTGCAGCCATGGAAAAATGATCAATGAGGAAAAGATAGAACAAAGAGCCATACAAACTCTAAAGAGTTTTGGCTTGTAGTTTTATACACATGGAGAACTTTGCTGAAAAACAAGGATGACCGTAAACTTTTTCCCCTCCTCTGTCACGTACAAGGAGTTATGTCTCTGGGGCTATGTGCAAATATTTGAAAGAGGCCATGGGTTCAAAGAGGCACTTTGACATGGCCATAAAGTGTTTTCAATTGGGAAAGCAGCTTAGCCAAGGTAGAGCAGCATCTCTGCATGAGTTGAAGCACGTCGTCGTGAAAGCAGAGCTACCTCAATCTGGACCAGCCTACTTATGGCATCCTTCTAGCAAAAATTGCTTGCGTCAACTCAAGGGAATCTCCTTCTCTTTTGCCATCTCTGCCCTCTTGTGCATTGGCAGTAGAATTGCAGGCAAAGGCCGGAATCGGAAGGAGCCACCCCTTCACCAGCATCTCCCACGAAGCCGAAGTTGGCTTTTCCCAGGAAACCAACTCCAAAAGGAGCAGAGCATTTGTTGCCATCGTAGGAGAGACCCCCGTCACTCTTTAACTGAGAAGACGGGAAGGTGAAGCTGCTTCCTTTGAGCTTCTGCTGTCTTTTCAACCCTGCTGGACAAGGGCTGGGCTAGAGGAGCAGCTGCTGATGGATTGTCTGAATCCTATTGCCAAAAAAGCTCCCCCACCCCTCCCAGGGAAGGCAAAGTCAGCGAGGGATTTGGGATCTCGCTGGCAATTGAAGCCTGGGAATGATTAAGCATCTGTTGCAAGGGAGGCCATCTGAGAGGCCCGCTCTGGCAGTGCAGACAGGCTCCAGAAACAGGAGGTGTTGGAATTTTTCTGGCACGAGAAAAAAGGCCCATGGAGTCGGCTGTAACCTTGGCGGGGTCTTGATGGAATATAAATTACTGTGCAGTCAATGTGGCTTAAATTAACAGCGGGCCTGTCTTCTAACTCCCCCCCCCCTTCCTTCCATCCGTAGCCTGCATGAGCAGGATAGAGCCTGGGATTAGACTTGGGAAAAGCAGCTGCTGCAGCAGCAGCAGACTAGTGGAGGGTGGGAAGATCTTCCCCATCTGTGGCCCAATCGGGTATCCCAGTGGGGACCAAAGGCCTGGTCTGTTGCACACAAGAGCTGGTTTTTTTGCAAGATTCCTCCTTTTCAGGAAATCCCTGGCGGGAACCTGATTGAATGCCAGATGAATAAAGAGATGGTTAGGAATCAACTTCTGGATTTTATTTTATTGCGTTTTATTTTACTACGGAAAGGGTGTGTGTGTGAGGATTCCATACAATGGTGGAGGGATGGCATATTTATATTTTCTTTCCTTTCCCTTCCCTTCCCTATCCTTACGCTATCCTTCCTTTCTCTTTCTCTTTCCTTTCCTTTCCTTTCCTTACCTAACCTTACCTTACCTTTCACAATTCCAGAGGGGGAAAAAAAAACAAGATTCCAAGAGCTTGGCAAACCTTTTAACTGAACCACTGCATGCCAAAAGTCCCATCAAGAAGGCCGAATATATTGATCTGCTCTTGTTAGCCTCGGGGTGCTACTGCCGTGGTTTGGGGGAACCTGTTTTGTAAAATTAAAATCACAGCTCCTTGCTCTAAGCTTCCACATGAAAATATTCTCTCCCCAACTCCAAAAGTCCTTCTTGCCTCATTTGAGAATGGGAGAGATGCTCCTTAAGGGTCTTGGTGCTTATTATAAACATATTGTGGGAGAAAAACCCCTTCCCCTGCTACATCAATCAGCAGCACAGCTCCCATACCCCTCCCCCCCCAAGTGTTGGCTTCCAAACAGCTAAGGAATTATGTGTCTGATTTGTGCTAGCTTGTTCGTCAGTTACATCATAAGATTCATGAGCTGCTGGCCAATATATTCAAATGCTCTTTTCTTTTTTGTGGGGGGGGGGAAGGGGTTGCTGGAGGAAAGATTATTCTTAGAGGATGAAGGGAGAGAACTAGTGATCTGCTTTTCATTTGATCTGATTTGATCGTTAGTGCTAAGGCAGAGTTCTCAATCTGTGGTCCGTGGATCCCTGGGGGCAGGTGCAATGTCATTACAGGGGGTCATGAAGGCTTAAAGACATGCTTAAAAATGTTTAAATCTTGAATTAAGTCTTGGGGGTCTGTGGCCATGATCTGTGGTCACAAAATGTATTTAAAGAAGATCCAGGGTGAAGAAAAGGTTGCCAACCACTGTGCTAAGGTCTTCTTTCCCTACCAAATGTAAAACTTGCTTGAGCTGTGGGACAAGAAATAAATTTGCTTTGACAGGTGGCATCCACGGTGGGGGAGGGTCTCTGATCTCCATTTGCCTTTGCTCAATTCATCCAGCTGTTACTGCTGGCATGAGAGGGAAGCGGCCTCAAAATCCTCCGATCCAGATGTTGAAGCTGCTGAGCCAAGGAGAGTGTTCCAAGAGGCAAATAAATCACTCCATAAAATAATTGGCATTTGACATCTTCCTATGTTTCCCAGCCCTAAGCTGAAGCAATGGAATTTCCCCCCACACACACATGTTAGAGCCTTATTATCTTTAAAGTTGCACCCTCCCCCCCACCTTATCCCTACTTTCCAGCCTTCTAATGCCACCCTCCATAATTCCTTCACTTTCCCTTGGTTGATTCCATAAGCCATTTTTTCTGGGATCTATCTAACCTCAGCATTAGATTAGATGGACATAAGTGGTCTTCTCCTCTTTGGTGCTAGGTGGCCCCGGACCTTGGCTGGCATCACTGCTTATCAATCCTGCCTCCAGTATCCCTTCACTTCTGGGAATGCAGTCTCTGGCCATGAAAAGCAGGCATGGAGGCACTGTGACCGCACAGGCCGCTGGGAGGAAGGGGACTATTCACACTGCTTGTATACCAATGATATCACCCGTGTGCTCTACACCTTTGTGCTGGTGAGTAGGACAATAAGGGCTCATTCCTCTTTGTTTCCATCTGGTTAACTCTGAGCATTTCGCAGCTACTACGGTAGGCAGACCAACTCAGAAAGTGCAGCTAGAAATGTCCACAAGTTTTGTCCAAGACTTGCTGGTTCATTCCAAGAAGGAGATTGTTTTCTGGAGTGGCTCATGGGATACAAAACAAAATGACAAAGTGAACGCTTTGAAGCACGTGGAGAGCCCTTTCCACTGCTGGCTATGTATGAATTTACTCTTAACCTACCTGAGATTTAGAAATCCATCTGGTCCATGTCAGCACTGCATTAACCCACTTACTCCTTTCTGTGATTTTTTTTTTTTTACATGTTTAGCAGTACTATTAAGTCACAACTTCTCTAGATAGCTTCCCCTATACTTCATTGTTTAACGCCATAGCTTTCCACATTGTATTATTTTTTGGGTATGTCTCTTTCTCACCATGTAATCCTCTTTAACCAAGAGTGAAATCCCAACAGATTCCATGTCTCCTATTTGTCCATCCGCCTGTACAATGTGGTCCACATGACACCACAGGGTGCATGAGCCCCTTTCTTGCAGCCCTCCAAATTATAGCAGACCACACTTGACTGGGCTGGCCTGATCATCGTCATTACTTCACTTTGACTACATCCTTTGAACACTCACAGGGTGGCATCTGCATTGGCAGATCTCAGTCCTTCTCTCAAAAGTGGTGACTCTTTCCTTTTATATTCTACTTCATTGAGATTGGAGAACTGACGGAAAACTTAACCCTGCAGCTAAGCAGGCTTTAAGCCAGCTATCTCCCCATTTTGTAAATTAAGCATTGTCAGATATTTGGGGGTGGGGAAGGGAGCTTAGACTGCTTTGACATTTATCTCCATTTATCTGCTGACAGATGCCCATCAATGCCTCAAATGCACTAACCTTAGCCCACCAGTTGCGGGTCTACACAGCTGAAGCTGCAAACTTCTCAGATATGATGGATGTCATCTATGTGTCTCAGATGATTGAAAAGTTCACTGGTTACGTAGACCAGATCAAACAGGTACGTGCATTTACCTTTGGACCCAACTCTCATATGCTCATTTTCCCACATTCATGATGGTGAGGAAAGAAAAGGAGTGTCTACATTCCATTTTTTGCTAAATACGCTCAACATGTAGAAAGTCTAAAGTAAAGATGGGCAGTCTGTGGCCACCATACGATCTTAGCATCTATATTTTACTAATCCTAACAAGGTGGCCTAACAAGCACATCTTTGATCTGGAATGAAATGTTCAATGATTTCTTATATCCCAAATTGCTTTCACCCAGCTGACCGACGTCATTGTGGAGATGGCAAGTAACATGATGCTGGTGGATGACCATGTTCTGTGGATGGCCCAGATTGAAGAAAAAGCTTGTACCAGCATAGTGCACTCCTTGGAGAAGATTGCGACTTATGCTATCAGCACCAACTCTCAGCATATGGCTGTGGTAAGGATCCAAGCTCTCCTAGTGGGTGAGCTGGGAGGAATGGCAGAGTAAAAGGCTAAGCCTGAAGCTTAGGTGTGGGGTACTGCCAAAAATGCAAATTACAGATACATGGAGTTTTTTGAGGGGGCAAGGAATTAGAAATCAAGAATAAAAACAAACACAGGTGAAATAGGAGAATTATTATACCGTGGGAAGGATTATGAGTTGGCTGAGACTAACATATACAAGAAGCTGCTGGTGTTCTTGGACAGCTGTTGAGACTCAAGCATCCTGAAATGTCCTCCTTGCTGATGATTGTGCCTTCTCTCCCTTTGGTTCCTTGTCTGGTTCCTCGATGTTCCTATTGCTTTAAACTCTCCGTAGTATCTCAGAGGAGCACACAACCACAGTGTAAAAGTTATTAGGAGATCTTAAAGAAGGAGAGGATTTTATGTCGTTGCTTCTGTCAGAAGAGCCCATAATCAGGGCAGCAAATATGGGGAAGACATCCCACAAAATTACCACAGGAAAGTCCATCTGTCCAGGAACCTGGATAGCAGGTATAAAAAACTAGAGACTTCAGACTAAGACAAAAAGTGAATGGCTGATGTAGTATAGATGACCCATATGGGATTGGCTGTATCTAGAAGGCTAGTTTGGTTTCACAAAGCTCTTGCCTTTGTTTATGCAGAACTCCAGGAACATCGCCTTTGAAGCCTACCTTATCATGCCAGAAAGTTACCTGGGCATGAGCTGCATGGCTTTTCAGAAGCGCGAGAATCTCGGTAGCCGTTCTCTGCGACAGGAGCAGTTTTCTGAATCCTTGTCAGACCAGCAGCTGAAGTTCCGTTGTGCTACAGGCCGACCAAACATCTCCTTGGCCAGTTTCCACATCAAGGTGAGATGGGATGGAGAAGAAAGGTTTCTGGTGGATGAATGTAATAGGATGGAGGAGGTACTTCTTATCTCTGGCATAGCAATAGGTGATGATGGGGCTTAAATTGAGGAAATGGCATGTAGCTTTTCCATTTAGGCAAGCTCCATATATTGCTAGGTTTTTCATATCAGAATGGAAGGCATAAGAACCAGAGCAGCCTGGAAAACATTATAGACATGTCCGATAAACTCATTGACATATCTCAATCATTGGAGAGGTGACGGAGTAAGAGGATGAGGAGGAGGAAGTCAACCTATTCTCCAAAGCACCAGAAGGCAAGACAAGAAGCAATTGCTGGAAACTAACCAAAGAGAGAAGCAACCCAAAACTAAGAAGAAATTTCCTGACAGTGAGAACAATACAACCAATGGAACAGTCTACCTCCAGAGGTTGTGGATGCTCCATCACTGGAGGTTTTAAAGAAGAGATTGGACAGCCATTTGTCCACAATGGTATATAGGGTCTCCTGCAGGGGGTTGGACTAGAACCAACTCTTTCCTTTCAACTCTATTCTGTTATTCATTTTGTTTGGGTGTGTCAGTGTGTTTTGACTGTGTGTGTCTCTAGCCCTTTTGGGATGGAGAGGAGATGGGGGTTAACTATGGGAAGGGCTGCAAGAGTTTGGCTTGGCCCCATCTTTAGCTTTCTTCATTCCTCTTCTCATTAGAACAGCATTGCTCTGGCCTCCATTCAGCTGCCTCTGGGCCTCTTCTCCCCACCAGCTCCCCACCAGCCTGTGCCCATCAGGTGTAAGCTTCAGTTCCTGGTGTTCCGCAATGGGAAACTTTTCTGCAGCACTGGAAATTCTTCACACCTCGCCGATGATGGCAAGCGACGCAGCGTGGCCACCCCAGTGATCTATGCAAGCACAGGTAAGAGACCCCGGTTGCTGTGGCAGAGAAGGACAGGAGAGACCCTACCCCCAGTGCACGGAGGAACCGTGCGGCTGGCAGTTTCATTGGGAAACTTGGGACCAGGGCATGGAGATGCTCATAAGACAGCTGTTGTGGGATGGATTGCCTGGGAACAAATCAACGGTCAGAGTTAGTGAGGCCGGTCTGGAATTCTTGTCCACCAGAAGGTGAATGTCTGTGGAAATTCTCAATCATCCATGTCACGGTTGTCGCAAAGGTGTTTTTCCGAAAGGCAACTGGACTTTCTTGGGTTTTTTTCCTTGACAACATTTCATTCTTCAGAACTGATGAAGTTTCCTGGATGAGAAGCAAAACGTTGTCAAGGAAAAAAAAAAACCCAAGAAAATCCAGTTGCCTTTTGGAAAAACACCTTTGGGACCCCCCAAAGGTCCACCAAGGTGGAGATATTCCCACTCCCTTAGAATGCTCTTTTCCATCCTTGTAGACACACTTCCTAATGAAGAACACATAAGCATCGTCATTTTCCATTTTTCTACAATACCCTACGGCTTGTGTGTGACATCCTTGGAAATAAAGTTGACGCTAACGGCTGGCGCTTTATATGGTTGTCGTTGTTAATCAGAAGACTCAAACATGATTTGCTTTCCCTTGTCTGAGCAGTAGCTCTGTGGAATTTATTTAAGCAACTCTTAGGCTGTGAGGAAAGGGTCCTGATCCTGAAAAAAGATCTCCTAACCCAGCTAGGGAAACCCTATTTGAGCAAACAAGCACCTACTGAAGTGAGTTCTGAGCACTTAAATTAACTGCATTTTGATTAAACCCCTGGTTCTGCCTCCCCTCAGATGGCTGTGGCGTAAGCAATCTCACCGAGCCAGTCATCATATCGTTGCGGCATTTGGACAAGGGCACAGATCGCACAGCCGCTTTCTGGGACTTTGACATTCTGGGTGGTTATGGTGGCTGGAGAGCAGAAGGTTGCCAGCTGATCCTTCAGGAAACCAACTTCACGACTGTGAGCTGCCGACATCTCAGCAACACTGCTGTGCTGATGGTAAGGCAGGAGATGGCGTATGGCACTCTGATCTATTACCTTTTTGTTTAGCCCTTGGTTACGTCACATAAACTTTTGCCAAATTCTCTTCCAGCAAAGCAAGAAAAACCACTTCCCCTTTTTATATGCATTCCTTAAAGATCTTGCAGGCAGTTTCCCACCTTCATGCCTAATGGCGTGTAGCTTCCTTCGTTCCCAACCTAGGGTAGATAACCTCCAGAGCTCCCAGTTTCTTTTGCTCCTGGTCAAAGTGGGTAGAGCTAAAAGGAAATGTAGTCCCCAATTATTTGGAACAGGCCAAGTCGTTTAAACCTGTTTTAACCTTCCTACTCCACGGACACTTATAAAGACTTAGCATATATTATTGTTATGGTAATATTATTTACTAGAGTTATATTTTGCATTTCCTTCATTATCTCAGTGGTTGAGATGTTGGGCTGGTTGGCTGGAAAGCCAGCAGTCCAGGTTTGAGACCTGAGCTCCACATGACGGGGTGAGCTCCCATCCTCGCCCCAGCTCCTGCCAACCTAGCAGTTCAAAAGCATGCAGATGCAAGTAGATAAATAGGTACCATTTCAATGGGAAGCTAAAAGTGCTCTGTGACATCGTGCTGGCCACGTGACCACAGAAATGTTTTCCAACAGTGCTGGCTCAATGGCTTTAAAACAGAGGTGAGCATTGCCCCTTATAATTGGCAACGCTTTTTTTTCAGTATCTCAAAATGATTAGACACCACTTGTGTCCTCCCATTCTCCCGCAAGTAACAACCATATGATTCAACGGAGACAGAGTGAATGGCTAAAGCTCATTGGCCAGATAACGCCTTTCAGCTGCACGTGGAATGATTTTGATAGAAGCTGTCCTCCTCCCATATTATGCACTAATAAAACATATTCTCAAATACAGGAACTGAGCAACTTCCCGCATGACTCACCGAGTCCCACTGAGGTGCTACATCCTGTAATTTACAGTTGCACAGCTCTCCTGCTCCTGTGCCTGTTTACCACCATCATCATCTACATCATCAACCACAGGTGAGTTTTTAGAGTTGAAGGTTGGGGCTGCCTGAAATTCTCCTCCCTACTGCTGAGCAGGTAGCTACAGTAGCATGTCTCCAGAAGATCTCACTTCCCAGTTTTTTCTTGGTGATAACACTAGCCCAGTTTTTTCTGCTTTGAATAACAGCTCCACCACCCTACCAGAGTCAAACTCAGGGCTTTCTCATCACCTGCTTATCTTTCAAACAGAGATACCTTTACTTGACTATAAGGCCCTTGCCTGCAAAGCTTTACTGCTTGATCTCTTAATTTTCTTATCCCTGTTTTTTTTTTCCCCCCCAGCACCATTCATATTGCACAGAAGTGCTGGCATATGCTGCTCAATCTCTGCTTTCACATCGCCATGACGTCAGCTGTGTTTGCAGGTGGCATCACTCTCACCAACTACGTAGCCGTCTGCCAAGCTGTGAGTTATGAGGGCAGGATATGATTAATGCGGGCTGATAGGTTTTGCCAGATGACACATCACTGAGAGCTTTTCTTCACACACAAGGAACACTGAGAAGTTGCTAAAAATGGCTTCAAGACCACACCAGTGTTCCCTTTGCAACATGGAACTAGTCCAGCCTCTTCATCATGAGCCGAGGTGGTGCAGTGGTTAGAATGCAGTATTGCAGGCTACTTTTGTTGACTGCAGGCTGCCAGTAGTTCGGCAGTTCAAGTCTCACCGGCTCAAGGTTGACTCAGTTGCCTTTTGGAAAAAGCATCTTTGGGACACTTTGGCCACTTCGATTGTCTTTCTAACTATCTCTTGGTTCTCAACCTTTTTAATGCCGTGACCCTCAACCGGTCATAAGTCAAGGACTACTCAACCGGTCGTAAGTCGAGGACTACTCAACTGGTGCAGCACCATTTGCAGAATGGGACTTTTGGCGGGCTCAGCAGGGCAGAGACAGCCTGGACAATTCCTATTGGCTTTTGAAAGCCAATAGAATTAGACTCTATTCAAGAGAGTCTATTCTATTGGCTTTCAAAAGCCAATAGAATAAAAGGGAGTAGCACAGCTAAGGAACAGGGGAAAAAAAATGGCGGACTGCGTTGTTTAGCAACCCCCGTGAAATGGTCATTCGACCCCAAATGGGGTCCCGACCCACAGGTTGAGAACCACTGCTCTAGATCCACCTAGATGTTGCCACCTATTTGTTTGGTAAGGAACAAATGAACAGATGCTCCACCCTGAAAACCACCATCCCCATTATGAAACTGTTTCACTCTTTAACAGGATTACCTTCTTGAGAGATCAGCCCAAATTTACAAAAGATACATTGCCAGGCAGCTGAGGATGCTAATTTGAAGGCAAATCCACACACAAGCCCTTAGCTACTTTACCATTGAGGCAAAATTGGGAAACTGATGACCCTCCAAGAGTTTTGAGATTCCCATACCCATCAAGCAGATGGTCCTAGTTTAAGGAACATCTAAAACCCATCTAAAAGTTTTTTTTTTTTAATTTGCTCACTCTTTGAATAATATTGATATCTCCTCAGACGTATAGGGATAGACAATCCCACAAATGAAGTACTGGAAGTTGTAGCAACTCTTATTGACTTCCAATATGACTGTTCTCCACATCCCCAGGTTGGCATCATTCTCCATTATTCTTCCTTGTCTACTCTTCTGTGGATGGCAGTGATGGCACGCGTGATCTACAAGGCATCCATCTGGAAGGCACCCCAACAGCAGGAAGGGGAACCAACTCAGCCTGCCCCTCGCCCAATGCTACGGTATTAAGGAAGTGGGAACTATAGGACTTGTTGGAAGACACCTGAAGGTTGCGGTAGATAGTGACCCTCTGGGTGGTGGGAACTTAATCATTGTTTGATTCCTTGAATCAGGTTGTTATGCTGTTGGGATAACAGTTTCTTTTTTCCCCTCAAACCTTATAAATCATTCTAAGATTCTGGGCAGGAAATGAGAAAATTAGCACTTAAATGAACAAAATATACAAGAATAAAACTGGCAAAATTTTCTATGATGGTTTACATACTCAACTCATACCAAAAATACAAGGAAATAGGACCAGTTGAATATTCATGCAAAATGCAAGGAAGGTTATGTAGAAACAAAAGTTGCTTGTTAATTCAAGATCAATATGCTATATGAGCCTAATCTGTGATTATTGCATCCAGTTTAGAGTTTAGTTCTTGTATCTCCAATAGACACCTGACTCTCTCTAATTCACAGGATGAATTCTGCATGGTGTTTTCTGGTTTTCTTTCCAGGTTCTACCTGATTGCTGGGGGGATCCCCTTGATCATCTGTGGGATTACAGCGGCAGTTCGTATTGACAATTATGGAGATCAGGACTCATAGTAAGTATTTGCATCCTAAGGTATCATTTCCAATTTGCATCCTAAGATATCAAGATTGTGATCCTACTTGAACATTAATTATGAGTCATCAAGTTGGTATTGACTTTTAACAGCCATAAAGATAGATCTTCTTCAGGATGATCTATCCCCAACCTAGTCCTTCATATCTTCCATCAGTGTATTCACTGCCACTATAATTGAGTCCATCCACCTCACTGCTGGTCCACTATATCTACCACTATATCTACTTGCGCATATATATATATATATATATATATATATATATATATATATATATATATATTGCTGTTTTCAAGTTTTTAACAATCTCTTGGGGATTAAAGATGTTCCCACTTCCTTGCCCCATAAATCCTGCCTAATATCCTTCAAGCACCACCTTACCACATCTCAGAAAGAACAAGGTATGCACTAACAAGCATTCTATTCTACAGGTTATCTGAATAGAGACAGTTGAAATATTTTTAGCTGTAAGACACAAATAGATGTCCCCTCTCCTGCATATCTGTAGTTTCCAGAGTCTCCCTTTAGCTGCCTTAAAGTCAAGATAACCAAGAGATTGTATGGAATGGGACAAAACTCATCACGATCAATTCATCATGGACAACTTGCCACGGCCAATTCACCATGGGACAATTCAACAATTCAATTTAATAATTTAAAACAATTAAAACATTATTTTAATTTTTGTCATTCATATTTCATTTTGTCCCTCCTTTGGCATCCTTTCTTTAATGATTCTATCCCAACATTTCTTCAATATTAGTGTAAATCTTGTCCCGTGGTGAGTTGGCCACAACGAATGGTCCTAGACCTTAGATTGTATGTTTGTCACAAAAAACAGCAGCGAAGCTGTTAACTGCTTAGCAGCCATTCATAATTTGGCCAACCTTTTCTTTCTCCACCCAGCTGCTGGCTGGCTTGCCGACCAAGCATTGGAGCATTCTATGTGCCTGCAGCTTTCATTCTGCTCATCACCTGGATTTACTTCCTATGTGCCGGAGTCAGTCTGCAATGCGGAGCGCAGGATCCCAAAGAAATACCCAAGCCCTTGGAAACAAGGCAACGCTTCGGAGGCAGTAGCAACCTGTTGACCGATTCAGGGTCGCTTTCAGTCACCCTGAATTCCAGCCCCCACACTGCTGATATTGATGGTGTGTATTCCCTGGGGATGCAACTCTGGGCCCTTATCATCACCCATTTCCTATACCTCACTCTATGGACCTTTGGAGCAATGGCAGTATCTCAGCACTGGTTCCTCCTGAAGGTTGTCTTCAGTTGCCTCTACGGAGTCACTGCTGGAGCCTTAGGATTTTTCATCTTTATCTACCACTGTGCCCGGCGCAAAGACGTACAGAATTCATGGTTTACTTGTTGCCCATCTTACAGGAATGCTTTACCTATGCAGGCTTATGGGCACACTGGAGCGGGGGTTGAGGGTGGCTCACAGGTCTTCATTGGCTGCAATCCAGAAGTAGCTCAGTCCATTAAGTCTTCATCCTCCCCAACCAGCACAATTTCAGCCCCAGGGCCCTGCAAGCTCAACAATTTGCAAGTGGCCCTTGCCCAGCCAGACAGTAACCCAGTAACAACTGCCTGCTTTGAGGAGGCAGAGCCTTCCAACAGTAAGAGCACCCCTTCAACCAGGTATACGAACAATCTCCATGGGCGCACCAGGTACCATAAAAGCAGAACTAAACTCTATCGAGAAGGGAAGCATCAGCGCCTGAAGGCAATGCGGGGACCTTCCTCAGAGCATCCTACTAGCGAGAGTGGGAGCCTTCAGAACAGTCATTCAGAGAGTTACCAAAGCAGCCGGAATAGCCCTTTGAACAATCAGAACCAAGGGAAAGTTGTGACTCTGGAATCCACCCTGACGCAGTCGGACTTGAGTGATGGCAGCGGTGGTGGCCCCCAGCCTGCAGATTTTGGGAGAGGCCAGAGGAGAAGCGCCAGCAGAGACAACCTTAAGCATCAGGCCAACCCCTCCGTAGAAAGAGAGACTAAGAGGCGCTCCTTCCCGCTCAATGCAGCCAATCAGAATGGGGTCCTGAAGGGCAGCAAGTATGACATCAACCTCAGTGGCGCGGACAATGCAAGCGGTATGAAAACAGGTCTCTGGAAGAGTGAGACAGCAGTGTAGGAAAGGGTCCAAGAACCTCTGCAGCTGGGATCTTAGAGCAATACCAACTCAGGTAGGAAGCTGCAGGCTACCCTTGTGGCCACAGCCCACCAGACTCAAGCGAAGATAATATTTTTACGTACTACAAAGGCTTAGATAATATGAGACGGGGAGGCAAGAACCATGCTCTCTGCTGGTCTTCCTGAGCAGATGGAATAGGGAGACTGTTCTGACCTCCCGTGGGAATCACAGCACATTTCACTATATATCAGGTGAAGTTGCTGTTCTTTGTGCCAGGGAACATCTTCCTCCAGAGAATGGGCAGAAAGCCACAATCACCCAAGGTGCCAAAGTTGCAAAGCGCGAGACAATCATCTGTTCTTGTGATTGTGTGGTCTCCCTCTTTCGTGTCCCTTTAGATCCTTGATATTTTTGTATAACGTACAAAAAAAAAAGGAAGACAGTGATCTATAAGCTAAACTTCTAATACGCTGTGTACATATGTATAGGCAAATTTGCTATCCAATGGAAAGTCTCTACATGCTTTATGCAAAATAACTCATGTTGTGTGAGACGAGGGAAGCTCTTCCCAGTCATTCAAAGCTATACACATATCTAGTTTTGTTTTGGATAAATCTAATGAATGATTGTAGAGTTGTCAAGGAAAAAGCCACACGGTAGAAAGAAGTGCACTATTAATTGTCCAAAGGTGCATGCTTAGGTGACAATCCTTGGTCTTCTTTAGTCTTTCTTAAGAAAGAGACTTGGGGAGAATATGATTTGCTGGGCATCATTGCCCAAAGATACTTAACAGTAGAGATGTGCAAAATATCTAGAGCTCAGAACAGTTGGAGTGGCTTGTTCAGATTTTACCAGAATGCTGCTCTACAAGAGTTTTTCCATTCAAAAGAGAAGTTTCAGAGTTGAAACACTTCTGGAGCAAATTATTTCAGGTAAGGTCAGAACAGCTATTCTGAGCTTGACATATTTTGTATAAAATCTTTTTAATAGCACTTTCAAGCAGAAGGTATCAACAAGGCCACCTTTCAAGTTACCAGCTGTGGAACTGAATTGGAATAGATTACTAGTTTGGCTTCTCATCGCCAAGGGCAGGGGTCTTCAAACTCGGCCCTTTTATGACTTGTGGACGTCAACTCCCAGGCACGCTGGCTGAGGAATTCTGAGAGTTGAAATCCACAAGTCATAAAAGGTCTGAGTTTGAAGACCCCTGGCCAAGGTTCTTGGTACACATTTGCCATACAGCTGCTAAACAGGCCTGAAGGCTTACTTCCAGCTTTGAATGTTAGGCGGGGAACTGACTGAACAAATGCTCAGATAATTCTATCCTTTTCTGTGATTGGGAGTTGAGTCACTCCTCAAGTTCAAAGTTGGAAGCCCTCAGGCCTGTTTGACAGCTGTGTGGAAAATGGTGTCCCATGAAGCCTCACTACAGGCACGATGCAGCTAACATGCCACATAGAGAAGCCTCTGAAATACACGAGGCTGCTGCACTGTTTAACTAGTAAGATGGAGCCATTGAAAAAAAGTCAAACACATTTTTATTATTCTTGCCTAGGATTAAGCAAAGCCCAGCGCTTATAAAAGTGTGGGGTGTATTAATAGATTAGAAATGGCAACCGATTTATTATGGGCAGTTATAAAAACTGCAAAGGAGAGCCCGCATCTTAACATATGGATTCTCTTTCTTGTAAGAGAGATTTTCCTCTGCCTTAAAAGTAAAGCAGTGTGCTTCTTGCTTCAGAAATAAGAGGGGTTTTTTTGCCCATCAATCTTTTTATTAAAACTGATTACGTTTACTTAATCATATTTTTTACAGAAAGCCCATAACCCCACATTATACGAAGGAAAGCATATGCATGCAGCCAACAGAAATAATAATAATAATAAAGTAACTCATTATGAAACTTTAGAATAGAGTGAAAATTGCCAAGAAAAAAGCCTCAGAGGCTTGAATGACATTAATCCTTTAAGGATTTGGGAAGCTACAAAATATTGTTTTTAAGCACCTTGGGGACATTCCCTTAATCTATATGTATATGTGACAAACGTTAAAAAAAAAGTCCTCTTTGTAATACAGTAACCGTTTCACAGAATTGTGCAGCAATCCTCAGATTGAAGGATGATTGAATCTGTTGTGTCGAAAATGAGCTGAATGAAGGCATTGTGATTCTTTCTCGAAGGCAGTTTCCAGAAATACTGGAAAGAATCAAGCTTATTATTCTGTTTGCTGGCATTTAATTTTTCTGTGCCCAACAGCATAGGGGCACTGCTTACGTACCATGTGCCACATTCCATAATAATCCCTCCTGTAGATATGAAAAACTCACTTGAAGAGGGGGAAAAAAACAGGATTTCCTTGTCTGATTGATGACAGTTCCAAGTAGTTATGTAGCACTGCATCTGTAATGTTACCAACTGAGGAAAGAAAAAAAAGACGCCACAAACTAGAAGAAGATTATTTTCTTCTAAGAATCATATCTTTGCTTCAGGAACTTCAACATGGAATTCATAGCACCGATGTGCCTATAAACATCTTCCTCAACAACTTCAAGATTTCCTATTCAAATAACCCCCATCTCTTGTGTTCCCTCCGTTTTTTTTTTAAATTTCTCAAATGCAGCAGGATGCACACACCCATTAATGCTGATTTCAGTTATTTTCTTATTGTTAATGTACTGCAAAATCCATAAACTCGATTATTTCAATTATGAGGTTAAGTGTGTTGCGTGAATATAACTACAAACAAGGAAAGCTTCCCACATAAGTAGTTGGTGCCTTTTTTAAAAAAATAAATTAGGTTCTAAAGTTCATGATAGCATAAAAAGGATTTGGCCTATGAAATGGGGCATATCATATTTGTTTACACAATGCACTCAGTGGAGGGTTTTTTATCCATGTCAAAGCGATAACATCAGTTTATTGGAATTAAAAGGAACAACAACAACAAAACTGCTGATAAACTGCTGAACTTCCAAGTTTTTGGAAGAATGCATGTTACCCAACTGGGGTAAAAAGAGGAGAGAAATGTATGTTGTGCCTTTAAAACAAACTCTTCAGAGTACATTGTGCAATTATCTTGTGTGCTAGCCAACAAAACAGCAAGGAACATTTTGTGGACAATCAAAAGGAAAAGGCTGGCATCTTACAAATAACACACCCATGTTTATGAAGGATGTAGCAAGGAAACGTGCTACAAATTTTTGCTAGGTCTGAGGGAAGATGTTGGCTTAAATCCCTAAGTTCTTTAAGACCGTTGCCTTGTTTTGTTTACAGAGACAGGCATAATTAACTTTTTGCATTGGATTTATGAACTAAGATTATAACAGTAGGAGGCTGCTGTTTAGAACAGAATATTGGAGGAATGCAAAATTCCTTATTTGAAGGAGAGTCCAGCAAGACCAAGGTCACAGCACCCAACATTCCTTGGAGTTTTTCCATTCCAGTGGAAAATCTTGGCTTTGGCCATGATTCTTGCAACTCCCAGAAACCTCCCTCGCAACAGTCACAGTAATTGATTTAGTATTATTTCCAGGATTGAAATAAGCTATCAACAGTGAATACTTCTGCCCCAAAGGGCAGCGCTTGTAATAGCATTTTGATCCAAGATGGTAAATTTCCCTTCAATCATTCTATGCAAAAAAATACCACAAATGTCTTCTTTGTCCAGGTGTGTGTCTATGTGTTGATTTTATTTTTACTGTGCCATAATTTTTAATTAACTCATTTAAACTGATGTGTACCTTGCCTGTTTAAAAGAGAAACCCTTTGCTCTGTGCAGAGGGCAGAAGGGATAGGTTTCACAGTCCTCCTCGCCAGAAAGAAGAAAACCTACTCCATAAAACCTACCTCCACAGAACTGCAGAGGCTGTGTGGTTTCACAAGCCAGGCCAACCTTGAAATTGCCTAAGACTTCCGGAAAGCAATAGCCATGAAAAGCCAGAAAAGCACTTAATCCTCCTTATTTGAAAAAGGTCATTTTCTCCCATCTTTCTTGGTTTTCATATGTATGATGTTTAATAGAGCCTTAACTATTTTATAGGGCAATATTGCAACCCACATGATATTGGCAATGCTGGACTTGTTATATATGCTTGCTAGAATGAAATATTATTATTGGGCAAATCTTTGTATAAGTACCCTTTCTTTTTGTTGGTTTACATTTTGTGCAAATGACAAATCAAAACCAGAGCTCTTTGAGAGACAGCCGTGCCAAAGAAAGCGTTTAATACATTTTTGTTGTGTTTGCATTTTATACAAATGAACTGTTTTTAGCAGATATTTCTTGTTTAATATATTAAAAGAACTGCAATATCCAAATGAAGCAGGTATTGCTCTTATGTTCCACCCATGCTTTGCCATCTCAACCCACACACTTTAATATTTGAGCAGTCATAAATCAAACTTGTATACTGATTCCAAGCAATGGGACTCACTTACCCAACACTTAAAGGATGTGTGAATTGAACAGCCATTCAAGCAACTAAATTGCTCATCTCGGACACTGGGGATAGGGGGCAAATCTCCACCACACTCTTAATAAATGGCTTTCCCACCTACCTATTCAGGAGGGCTGGAAAAGCCCAACTTGTGCACCCATTCAAAAGGTGTTTATCATCTCAATTGGGCTAATTCTTCTCAAACCCTTTTATTGTAACTTTTTAATATATATAGCTGAAGTCAAATACAAAAGGTTGTAGGTACTAGCCAAATAGCAAGGAGAAAAAAACATAAGTGGAGTTTCACACATAAGATTTAAAGGGATATGCCAATTTCATCCCATTTATACATAGGACAATTAACCTATTTGCATGACATCATAGCATGCACAACCTTATTCCTCTTGTGTGCCCCCCCCCCAGATGACCAGATATGGGAATTATTGCAATATGCCCTTTTCTACACTACTTATGGAATCACTTTCAAAATCAGTCAGTGGCTGCAGAGCCCAAGTCCACTTAATCCATTGAATGCTAAATGAATGTTTACCTTCAGTGTTACCAGACCCATATGGGAAACCTCTAAAACAACACGCAAAGCAGTGTTTGGACTGAAAAGAAGAATGCTCCAATTCAAAACAGAAGAGGCAAAATAAACCAGGAGCGTATCTGATGCAGATCATTACACTTCAATATAGTAAGATTAAATCCAAATATTTCTGATGTCCAGGACTGGAAAAAGTGGTAGAAGCGTATTGGTGTTCATTTAACCAACACACATCTAGGCCAAAGAGCAGTCTAACATTTCTTTCAACATCTAGCAAAAGATTTTACAACTCATATTCTATCACTGTTTTCCCCAATCTGCTTCCTTCTACATCGCTTACACTGTGGATCTAGGAAATCCCAACCAATGCCTATTAAAATATGAGCTGGTTATTTTCTTAAAGATCATGATCTGAACAAGAAGACTTCGTCTAATTTCAGGAGAGAAATTCCTCTGGAACTACGGACTATAAGGAACCCAACCCCTGTTGTCATTGACTGCAGGCTTTTAAGACTCACTAAATACCTTCACTAGCATAGGCGAACCTGCATTTTGCTAAACAGTTCTCTTTCTTCTGGAGTCCGGATGTATTGTTCAATCTCACTGTCTAAAATGGGCTCTTCCCCTGTGATGGTTGGGCCTTCAGGGTCTGGATTGCTGGCTCGAGGCTTCTTTGCTGGGTACAGGATACAAGGCGGAAGCAACGGCATCCGCTTCTTCCCAGCAATGGAATCCTCTCCTGTCAAAGCCGCGGTTGCTTTCATAGGCTGCTGGTCTGGCGGTGCGGTGGAGTTCTCAGCCTCACAGTCTTCGGTGGTATCCACCGTACGGAAAGCCGCCCGTAGAAGCACACGGCGATGTTGCAGCAAGTCTCCAATGTATTTCGACACAGTCCTCCGGTCCACTTTGAGCCCTCGCAGCCAACCCAGCTGAGAGGCCATCTGAAGGAGGATGTTATGCAGTTCCTTCAGTCTTTGTGGGGCTGGCCGTGGCATGTCCATGCCAGCAAGCTTGCAGAACTTTGTAAGGGTGCAAGCGAGACGGTCAACAGGTCGCAAAGACTGCCAGGCCAAAAAGGCTGCTGCCATCACAATGGGGATGGGGTGCCGACCAGTCACCAGCCATGTCTCGCTGGCAAGCTCCACTATCTGGATTGTCCTTGCCAACAGCTTCTCCTTATCTTCCAGAAATTTGGCTGGGATGTCGGATGATTCCTGGAAAAGCTTAAAGCTGAAAGGAACAAAATAAATGGGGGGCATGGAAAAGCCTATCAGTACAGCCCGTGTTTTGGCTTTAATTTTATACAGTCTTGGAAATATTACATTGCAATATTTAAGAGTTGCAATATTTAGTCATTTAATATATTTAATTAAAATATTTTGACTGATTTAACACATGGCCCAAATAATGTAGCATATATATTTAAAGAGTAGTAAAGGGCAAGATTCATCCTAAAAATAATCCATTCTCTTCTCCCACATAATAGTAGAAATGTATTTCCTAACTAGGCCAGCTACAAAATACAAATGCCCCAAAAGCAAAATGATATATTATTTGTTATTTACAATTAAATTAAAACCAGTAAATTTATATAATCTGAGGAAATTATCTAAAAAAAAATCCATGAATTTAATCTGATTAAGGAAATCCAGGCTTTGCCTGCTAACGCCCTGTCATCAGAGATTTCATGATATTTGTCCTTCCTTTTAAAGCAAGAAAGTCACTCCCATTTTAAACAGTATTTAGATCACCGCTAGAGCTGCTTTACTACTTTAATTCTTGAGATCGTGTTTAGCAAGCAATAAATAAAATAAAATAAAATAAACATAATGATTTGCCCAAATCAGGCAAATATGAGATTGTATTCAAAGATGCACAAGACAATTAAAAGCTGAAGATTCTCAGATTAACTATTAGGTAATAACCCTAAGCCTATAACTCTAACCCTATCTGAAACCTAAGTTTGAATCTTATATTAGGAATAACACAACCAGCCAGGAGGACTACATGTGCAAAACATTTTCAGAAAGCAGACAGGTTTAGCAAAACTCTCAGACCTGCCTCAGCCTGAGCCTCTAAGTAATTACTGTATTGCACTTGACTTCTAGTAAATTATACTTTTCTCAATAAACGGAGTTAAGTATCGTTCTTACTAAGCTGAGGCAGGTCTGATAAGAAGATCTAGCTGAGCTCTGTGAAAGTATCTAGGATCTCCGCAACTCTGAGAAAACTTCCAAGTTGACTACAATCATTTCTGAGTAAGCATCAATCTTACTCAGTCCTATCTAGCTTCAGCAAAGTGTCTATACTGCACTTCCAATCTATAGAATTCTCTTAGGACCAATATACTGAAGCCTAAAATAATAAGAATTCATTCCATCCATAGGTCTTCAACAAACTGCACATCAATGGCTCAGACGTTTATAAGAAAAGAATATTTTTTTTAAAAAAAAAAGCTTACCTGTTGAGGTGTGTTTTCACAAGATCGATCAAGCTCAGAGTTGGTACATCCAGTGCCAATTCCTTCAAAAACCGCAGGTAGGTTCTGGCAAACAATTCCTTGTCTGCATAAAGCAGCAAGGAGACAGTGCCCATTGTCAAGGGCCAGTTGTGCTGTCTACAGGTCACGAAAACACAGCAACCTATAATTATCTCCTTCTTCTCCAAACTGACCAAAGCAAAGCAGGGGCATTTGATTGCCTGTTGATAATAAGACACGGCTGTATCTTCAAACAGAGGAGGAAGTCGGAGAACTTTGCAGAGATCCCGAACCCGTCTGATTCCTATGGAAGAAGGCAATGCAGATACTTAAGAAAAATGTCCATACCATGGCCCTCCAGATATTTCTCGCAATATTGGCTGGGGCTGTAGTTTTTGAAGGACCACTCTTATTTGACACCAACTTCTTGCTTCAGAAAATAAGTAATTGCCAGAGTCAACCCTTTTTTAGTTGCAATACATCAACTAGCAACATAAATTCTGGGCTCAACTGTGGTCGTAAATCGAGGACTACCTATACATTAGAACTGCTGTAGTAATGACTTTCCCATTTTTATATAGACAATTTTATAATTGTGTAATTTTATATAGACAATTTAAAGCCTACCTATCTGGCAGAAACCTGGTACCAGCCCAAAATTATCTACCAGGGATTTAATGAGTTCTTCCAAAAACTGAAATGGGAAATCAGCCCTGCCCCTAACAAAGGATGCAGGTAATTTAAAATATAAAATGATTTTGCTTTTAGAGAGGAACTACAACTTCACAAATGGGAAATACAGTAATTTTTACAATGCACCAAGTGTTGACTGGTAATATTAAACATTTACCTCGCTGCAAGCAGCGGCTCAGCTGGTCACTTTGACCAGTACTTCGTGAATATGTCACTTCTGAAAAGACAAAAAAAAATTAGAAAGAGAAAATGACAAAAAGAATATCACATTTCCCCAAACAATTATTTAAAACTCAAACATTTTTAATGTTCAATGTTTAAAAGTTTGAAGTTTATAAAAGGCCACAAGGGATGTCTTTATCTATGTAGATCACAGGTATCCAAAATAAACCTTATAATCCCAGGAGTTTTAGTTCCACTTTATTTTTTGATTCACCTTGTAAATGTTCTTCATCAGCATACGTAGTTGTGAGAAGTCCTTCAGTTAGAATAAAGCCACAATCTGCACACACCAACTGGTTCTGAGTATAGTGGGAATCTTCCACAATTTCCAAGGAGCCACAATCTGGACACTTCTTCTGAGTGGACATTTTAGTAGCCTGAGAACAGAATTATTTTAAACTGATGACTGAAAAAATATTAGGATTTGATTAATATGTTTGCTGCATAACTTTTTCCATATTCCATATGATCAACATAAATCCGCCTCCATCTATCTGTCTAATTTATATATTTGAAATAATCATAAGAAATTAACTTGCTAGTTAGGAAAAGGTAAGCTTGACCTATTGGATGGGCATACCTCAAAATACAATCAGTTATTATGATTTTAGCAAACACATGTGTATCAGTGCTGAACCATTCTGTCCACCTTTGAATTCTGGCAATGCACTGTATGCTTCTCAGCAAGCTGTCTCTTTCATGAGTTTTGTGCATCAATTGAGCACAATCTAATCCCAGCAAGGATATCTTCTAATGCATTCATGATATATTGGTATAACACTACTAGAATATATGATAATAGGGTTAGAAGGGATTGTGGAGGTCTTCTAGTCCAACCTCCTGCTCAAGCAGGAGACTCTAGTCTAGTCTATACCATGCCGGACAAATGGCTGTCCAGTCTCTTCTTAAAAACCTCCACACCCCAATTTCTGTATTGGGTAAAACAGAATAACAGCGTTGGAAGGGACCTTGGAGGTCTTCTAGTCCAACCCCCTGCTCAGGCAGGAAACCCTGTATGATTTCAGACAAATGGTTGTCCAATCTCTTCTTAAAAACTTCCAGTGTTGGAGCATTCACAATTTCTGGAGGCAGGTTGTTCCGCTGATGAATTGTTCTAAATGTCAGGAAATTTCTCCTTAGAAATTTAAAACCTTTTGTACACATGAGATTTCATCACTAGTAGCAGGAAAAGAGGAAACCCGGGCCAGAGTTAAGCGGACCGAAAACCGTTTTGCAATCAAAACAAAAACCACCATCACCCCACAGAGATCGCTGGGGCTGCCTGGGCATGGGTCTACGGTTTTTAATTAAGCCAGAACCCATCAAGATGCTTGTTCGAAGACCCACACCGTGCAACCCACCCACCCCCTTTCATAACCAATATGGTTCCGGGAGCGCTGGGGATTAAGGGAGTTGGGAGTCTCCACACCGAGCGCAGCCTATAGCAGCCGCTGTAGGGCATTCGCGTACCTTACTGCGAGTCAGAGGACGAGGGGGGCTATCCTCCCACGGCCGTATGCCTAAAAGAAACAACTCCACTTCGCCCTCCCTCCGAGGACTGAATCGTTTTATTTTCTTTTCCTCAAACAGGAAACAGAAGCGCTGGGGGAAACCTTTCGAAGGAACACGCCTTTTTCGGCGCACTCAGTATCCAGCCAGCGGCAAAGTGATCACCGTTTAATAGTTTCCGAAGAGAAACAAAGAGTAAAGGAAAAAAAGTTCCGGGTAAGCGCTGAAGCGGCTGTTTACTTTCTCTTTCTAGATAAATTCGAGAAAAACTCTGGGGACCTGCTATGTCTTTTATTCGAAGTGAAGGATACCTGATGGGCAGGAGCGCATCCTCCTCTTCTATGATTATTACTATTATTCAGTTTAACTTCCTTCTCAGAGGTCGGGACTTCTTTTTTTGCGTTGGAACCTGTTCTATGCCAGGAGCAGAGATATTATGCAGTTGGGTGTCCGAAATTTAATACATAAATAATGTGATATCCATTATGACAATAATCAATACTGTGTCATCTTTATAAATCAGTAACACCTTCCTCGTTAACCATCCTCTATAAAACGTTTCCTTCTGAGAAAAAAAATGTTTTATTGGGTCAGTATGTAAAAGAGTCTAATTGGATTTTTGCCATATTCACCAGGATAAACAAACATTCAAACTTGAATTCAAGGTTAACCAGGGTTAATTTGTTAAACCATGTTAAGGTAATGTTGCATCAACAAATTTGCTAACCAGCCATGAAGGTAAGTGTTCTGGATTGTACATGTATTATACAGAGTTGATTTTAAGGTCTGGTGCAGTTACCATAAAGAGGTTTCTTATTTCAATTAAATTCTCCCCATCTGTAAAAAGTAGCAAGTGCTAGATAAAGTTGCTATCATGTCAATTGCTATTGGCTGGGTAGAACAAACTGGATAGATGTTTAGCACCTCAGGACTGTACTTTGCTGAAATATATGTATCCCTGATATTGCAATGCATTACAGGAGTGGGTAGCTGCAACAAATCATTCAGCAGAATAAAATAAATCAAATAATTCCTTACGGGGATATTGCTCTTTAAGGTACAGTGAGGATTGCGTGCTTTAGGATTAAAATGTTGTCATTTTCCAGGTTAGCTAAAGCCTTAGAATTACAAGCAATTATGTATTACTTGCTTGAAAACTGAAATGGAACATGGATATTCTGTGTATATGTATGTGATTACCCAGATGACCCAGGTGACTAATTGATATTCCCCCATGGCACTGTCAGAAGATAAAATCTGAGTTTCCAATCCCCAGCCATTAATCTCACCGAAAAGGGGATCATACAATCCCATTTAGGGAACAAAATGATCAAAAACTGAATTTGCCTATACAAAATACAAACTTTGCAGTAGTATAACCTTAATAGTCATGTGGGGATTTTGTTTTGTTGTTTTGAGTCAATGTTGACTCTTGCCATGCAGACTAATCCCGGCAGCTTTCTTAGTAATTTTTTTTTTTATTTTATTTTTTGAAGTGGTTTGTCATTGCCTCCTTCTTACGGCTGAGTGCACTTGACTGGGCACCCAACTAGCTGTTCCTGAGATGAGAGTAGAATTTACTTCTTCTGGTTTCTAGCCTCTAGCCTTAACCCCTATAGCACAGCAAACTGGCTCTAATAGTGCATAGTAGAGTCCAGAAATGTATGAAAGATTAACGCGCCAACTTCTGATTACACCAACAGTAAACAATAAATAAATCTGATTTGAGCAAAGTGTGTATTTGTTTTCCCGAGCCTTAATATTATAGGGACAAAACTATAGAAGCAAAGGGCCATCCTATTAAAATCAATAACCATGACCTAAAATTTCATTCCTATTTTGATAAATGTATGTATGTACATATATGTATGTGTGTGTGTGTGTGATCACACCATTCCCTTTCAGGCAGGGAACATTTTATAAAATGCAAAAAAAAAAAAAAGAGCAATAACTAAAGGATTATCTTATGTCTTAATGCACTCAAACCACAAAATTCATAACAAATGCTTAGTATATTTTAAAATGTGTATGTCAACCTTTGGAACATAAGCAACAGTTCAGCTAGATATTTTAGACGTTGCAAATAAGAAACAACACTGTTGCTATCTCTAGAAAAACAAACTATCATGTGAAATGTTTATAGTGTCATAGTACTAAAACAAGTACTTCTGTAATTCAGGGTATACTGTTTGCTCAGATAGTTCAGTTCCTTCCTGTGCAGTGACTTAGCATTGCAATTATTTCCAAATTGGGCTCAGCCTATTCTAGCAGGGAATCTTTACAGCAAAGAGCCTATTTTTGATATGGTGCTTCAGAATTTTTTTTAAAAAAGCACATTTGTATCAGGATGTTGTTAAGAGTTTAACTGCAGGATTTTTTAAAACTGGAACTACTTTTCATGCAATCATTTAGAACTAGCCCTATTGTCAAATTGTAAAAAATCTCAACTTTTTTTTTAAAAAATGACATCGCTAAAACTTTTGACGTTCTTCAAATCCGAATTGTTCTGTTAACAGATTAAAATAGATTTTGAAATATGCATGTAAATAGCTTGAAATTTCAGTCTCACCAAATATGTAAAAGCAGAGGAAATTAGAAAAAGAAATATTCTCAATATTATCAAATCAGGATGATTTTGATCATCCGCATCCCTAATCTTATTTTCAATCATTTCTATATTAGGTTTGTAGTGTAATAAGAGATGTCATTGGTTATTAAAATATTGGTATGTAATACAGGATTAGGCAGAATTTACATTCTATTAAAATCAATAACCACGACCTAAAACTTCATTCCTATTTTGGTGTGTGTGTGTGTGTGTGTGTGTGTGTGTGTGTGTGTGTGTGTGTGTGATCACACCATTCCTTTTCAGGCAGGAAACATTTTACAAAATGCTAAAAAAAAAAAAAAGACATTTAACGACATTGATCAGCATTTGCACATCTAAAAACATCAGCATATAAAAGTACAGTACTTCCCCATAAACTTTTATTATATTCAAAAATGCATTGAAAATGAAAGACACAGTACATCTTACTCCCACTTAGTAATAAACCATTAGTTAAGTATTCTATTTACTTTCACACCTGCTCTACTTCCCTCATTTGCTAATCTCTATCACATTCATAAAACTGCCTTCATAAACACTCCTATCAGTTGTATGAAGAAGCTTATGCTTAACCAATGGATTGGATGGATATAAGCTTTTAAAACAGATATTCACTAAACAGGGGTGTCAAACTGCCAGCTCACGGGCTGGTTTCATCATACCGAAGCCGCGCCCACCCCATCGCCGATATGTCGCGACACGTGACGTGGCGAGTTTGACACCCGTGCACTAAACAGTCATGCTTATTCATTCTTGAGCCTATCAACATATAAAATATATAACAAAGGACACATATTCGTTTAACTTTAAATAACTTTATTTTAACATTTCATAAGGCTGAAGGTCTTTGTATAAAAACCATCAGGCAATGTACCAATTGTAACAAAGCGTAAACAAACATTCAAATCCTTCTACATTAAATATACAGAGGGAGACAAACTATTCATTGCATAACCATTTTATTAAAACTCAAGAATTTACATAAACTGATTATTTTTAAATCGTTCAGTAAAATACTGATTTTAAGGCACTGTTATTTCTACATTATATATTGAGTGATATATAATGCACAAAGACAAAGTTGGCAACAACTGGGCCCCGTTGTAACTCCTTCATTATATATTACACAACATGTGAAACTGCCCCACTTAAAACCCGTTAAATACATACAGCTATGACTTAAAACTATCTTCCCCCAATTTAGTGTTCTTTGTGTCCTATGTTGAGATCAGCCTTGTACAAAAGGTTATCATGGAACATTCCAAACACAAAATGGACTTTTCCAATTATTGGAACTGCAACTGTTTCAGGTTGGAAAGTTTAGCACGCTCTTAACTGAGATTGCAATTCCCATAATTTTCAACAAGAATGACCAATAACAATGCTAGCTTACTGGAACTTATATTAAAATTAACTGTTTTTGAAATTAAAATTAATTTTAAAATTTAAAATTAACAAAAATAAAAGGATTCTAAATTTGGATTTTCTCAATCTGCTCAAAATTTGCCCAGCACAAGTTTTGTTTCTTTTTTGTTTTGCTACTTGCCATTTTATTAGCGGACATGTTTACAATTTCAGTCAATTTCAGAAAGTTATTCTTAGGGAGTATGGTATTAAAGCAGCTATTTGATATTCTGGAATCAGACATGTAATACAAATTCCTGCATGCCTTTTCATAAAAGCATACAGCATTATGCTAACAACCAGCAGAGGGAAATAGCTAGACTTTAAAATACCCTCCAAAATGTTTTCTACCTATAAAATATGTCTACCTATAAAATATGTATTGTTACACATTTCAGTACCAGCAATTTCACAATATTGTACCGCCTTCAATATGCCAGATCACTATTCTTTTCCGTGGAAAAGTCCAAAATGCTTCTTCTAACTCAACAAACGAAGCAAAAAGAAAGCTTGTTTTATAGTTCCTCAGATTTGAACTATACTGCATAGGAAGAGGCAGACACATCTACTCCACAGATTTCACACTCATGTTTATGGCAACAACAGAGAGTATGATCTACTCCTGCCTCAGAATCTGACATTCAAATATATTACTCATTTCATACCAAACCTTAACCTATGTAATTAGATTATGAATGCATTGGTAACGTAAGTAATACAAACTACACCTCTTCTCAAAACATGAGTACTGTAGCCACCTAAGCTATTCTGTTCTTTGGTGATTGCCAGATTATATACTGGCAAATATGCTAGTTAATAAATTCAGCTCACAAACTTATATTGTAATCCAGTGTGGTGACTAAGTATAATAAGAGGGATGAAGAATTGTTCAGTGCCAAACAGATCCCTCATTAAAGTGCATAGGAAGATAATAAACAACAGCTGTAGCAAATGATTAAGTTAATTCTTCAATGTCGCTAAACAATCCTTGGATTGCTGCAGGTACCTACATTTAATCAGCTAGCTGTGATTGCTAACAATTTTGAATCAGTAGTAGTTATGAGTGGCTAGAACATAAATGTGGATAGATTTGTGTTAACTCTGCAAAGTACCTTGTTAATCTCTATATGTATTTTCTACATTCTAAGGTTTTGTGGTAAATCATAAAAAGATGCCCAGTTCAAGGTAAGTTTTAACATACGATAGAAAATGCGGTTTTCTTACTAGATCCAGAATAAAATATTTCTAGATCTGGAGTACGCATTCTTTCCTTGAAGGCACAGTTCACCCATAGTCCAAGACCAAGGTATCCACTGTCCTGCTTTAGATTAAAAACGTCTTTAACCTTCCATTTAAAAAGTCAGCAAGATTTAAAAGTACTGTATTTATTCTTCCCGTTTCACCACATGCTATTATTTTCACAGGAAAAAGGAAGTTTGATCTATTTTATATAAACCCTGCATGAATTGTATGCTGAAAACGTGAATGTTTCCAATTAGTCTTTATCAGAAATAATATAGGCTATTTATTGTGGAAAGGTAATGTAGACCTCCCATGTATTCCAGCAATTACTGCAACAAATAGATCAGGCTACATTTCTCTACTCTGGGGAAAGAGAAGTTAGCTGTGGAAAAGCCTGACAATTCAAAACCTTTACATCGGAAACACAAGACTACCAGCATAACACTCTGGCCAAGCTCAAACCAAGTATTTCCAAAACAAATGCCTCAATGTAAAAAATTGCTACTGGAGAGCATGTTGACTCTCTTCTTCACTCTCTCACATCAATACCATCCTGTTTAGTTTTCTTGATCAAATAAAATGGAATTTAAGTATCAATGAAAATTATCAGATTTGAGCAACTTATCAGATATTCAAGTTTGTTCATTTCAAACATAGATATTCTTAAAGAGAAAGGAAAACTTGAGTTAACTGTCAATATTGCATATACAGCTCTGAGCACAGCAAATAAATGCTTGGAATTTACAAGGAGGCTTTGCTTAGCAATTCCAGAAAAGGATCAAAATTTATCCCAACTTTTCACTGCATAGAAAAGGAAAAAGGTGTTCAAGATGTGCAGATACATTTGCCTTGGCATCTGATGAGAAAGAATGCCTTTTCTTCACCTTAACAAAAAATACCTAAGATTTCTAACTGCTTGGCTCATCAGTTGCGGATTCTGAACATCTACAATTTTGAGACGATTTTCATCCATAATAACCATCACAAGCAATTATATTTCTGAAGAATACAGAATCTGGAAGAACACGAGAGACTTCCAGAATCCCCCCCAAAACTGTCTGACCCTTCCTGACAAAAGTAATTGTACTAGTCTAAGTAGACTGTTATTCTAAAAAGACTTAAGTACACCAATTTTCTTAGAAGATTTTCTGAAAATAACTTTGTTGGAGGAACTTTTGTGTAGGTGTTCGCAAATAGGAAGACATTTTGGAAACATTTTATTGAGTGAAAGGGAAGGAAGAAAAACACATCAATTTCTGAACAAAGAAGAAGTGACTAAAAAGCAAGCTCAGTCAATATTCATGGCCAATTAAGAATTGTGTGAATATGTACTTTCAAACTTTTAAAAGTCTGGGAACATTCCAGTTTCATCCACATTCCTAAAATCACAGAGGAATAAGCAACTTAGTACTTCTCCTGGAGTTTTGTTCTTTTTAAAACCAAGGTTACTTATCCCTGCTTTAATCTCTATTTAGAAATCATCATCTACAACTGAGTGACTAGCTATGGTGCTCTAGTGCTATCAGCCAGTTTATCCCAATCCAAATCAAATAAAATGGACCCCAAACCAGTCACAATTAGAGATTATAAAACTTAGTGCTGAATGTTTTGCATACTCTTATTCACATATCATTTCAATGTAGACAACACAAGCAAGCAATGTTTGTTCACCAGCCGTTACTATGCAATTTTTTTACCTATGGTTCCCAAATGAATAATGCAAATAACTCAGTACACAATCCACTGTAAACATCCACAGCACAAGCTCCAATTGATAAGAACCTGTGAAAGTCACAATGCTGGTTTTCAAAGGGATCCAGTTTTCCAGTAATATCTTCATTTCCCAGCTAATTAATTAAAATGAGGGACTTGATGATATTCCAGTGTTTTCAGCGAATTAGCATGAAATTGCTTAGGATAATATTGTATATATTGCACAAAAACTTAGTATGACCCACAGAAATTTGAAAACTGACTAATATTTTTCAACTTTACATAAAATTCTGTATAAATGCTTCAGGTACAGTATTATTCACAGTAGAATAATATAGCTCTCTTGAAATTTCATAAGTCATACTTTTATTCATAAACAGAGAAGCAAAATATGTGCATTGTACTAGAAGAGTATCTGAAGAAAGATTGTCATTTCTGGATTATATCTAACCAGTCTCGAAGACAAGACACCAATTTTACCCAAAGAAATAAATAACCTTTGTTTTGCTAAAGTAATATTTCATTTCACATTCTCTTAGTCAAGTTGGACTAAGAAAATTCTTCATACAGGTTGAGGTGTCATTTTACATCTTTCCAGCTTTCTTTCTGGGGTGGACTTCAATCCGAAGAATGTTGGGGGTTTCTTCCATGACTCTAACAAGCAAGTTATCTATATAGTCTTCCAGCTCTCGTACATGGACATCTTGCTTGGCAAGAATATCTTTTTGTTTCAACACCAGTTGGATCAGTTCATCATGAGTTAACTGAGCATAAGCACAGGCAGGATCTGAACGATCATATTTCTGTAGGAAAAAGAAAGGGGGGGGGAGAGAAAAAGTCATGTCAATAGAAAGAGTTGTCATTAATAGATTCCAAAATAAGAAAGCAGCCCAGACTTTTAGCTTCAGGGATCGAGCATGCACTTCAAAAAATGCTTCAGTGATGCTTAAAAGCAACCGCTTTAAAAAAAAAAATCACAAAAATGTAAAAGTGCAGCATTAGCAAGTAAGGACATTTATGGAGATGAAGATTTTAAGCTTTTCTAAGCCCACCTCTGGTTGTTGCTGCTCAAACCAGTAAAAATCAAGAGAAATGTCTTGACACATCACATGTAAATCATCCAATGCCATAGTCTCAGCTGAGAAAACCAAGGTCTAATTTCTGTAGAAAATCAAACCACTACAAACTTCATACACACAGTCAATAACCACTGTATAATCCTACACCAAAATATCCTATGCTGAAAGCCTTTAGAAGAGTTTCAAGTTTTCAACATATGCAATTCATACATTCCCCAGTCATATTTTAAAAGGGATTATACTGTCCTTCAACCGTATTATATTGTGCTTTAAAATAGGTATGGGCCCCTCTTCTAATGCTCAATTTTCATTTACTCAACAGTGAGGATTAACAGAAATTACAGAGCCAGAGACTACCCAGAATTTAAAAAATGCCTTAAGTACCTTCAAATTGATTTCAGTTTGATTATCCAGCATCCTAGCATTTATGCTCAAGATTTTTGCAGATGGTTGCTTAGTTGTAGCATTCATTGGCTTCACAGGATGAAGTCTAAAATTAGAGATAACATTTACAGTGAACAACATAACAGATCTACTCTGGGTGTAACAAAAAGCACTGCGCACCTGAATTCTGCAAAGTCACTTTTTTCTTTACCTCTTACTTTTCACCTTCAAATTTAAGACACTTTTATATGGCTGGCATCACCATATGGTGGAACTACAAGTCAAAACAGTGTATTAAATAACACGCTCAAATAAGACTAAAGGTTTACTTAATACATTTTATGTTCTATCCTTCTTCCAAGGAATTTATGCCGAATTTTTCCCTTTTACTATTCTATTTTCATAATAAATTAGATAGGCTGAGAAATACATTACAAAATACCCAGAAAGCCAGGACATGTGAAGCTCTAGCCTTGTACGGAGTAGATCCCCGTAATTTATTATTTCCTCATTTCATTTATTAAAATTATAAATAAAGTTGGCTCTTCCACCTTCCCACCAAGAAGAGAGATATCAAAGATGCAACAGCAGCTAATGCTTTTTTATATTGGACCCCCAACACCCATCTTGCTTGTCTTCTCACCTGAGTTTGGCAGAATTTCCACCAGGATTGGGATGTGTTTCAGAGGGTGAAACCCGTGCCTGAAGCAGCTTCTTCTTGCCAGAGCTTTCCACTTTGGCATCCAATTCTTCCGCTGTAGCTTTTTGGGGAGATTCTGCTTTATTAAAGCCATAAGAATCAGACTGGAAAGAGCTAACAGAGCAAGATTGAGAAGAATCAAACAGAGGGTAAAGAGAAACAGGCTCAGCAGAAGACTCGGGACAATCTTCTTGCCTCTTTTTGTTTGAGTATTCTCCACACTTCTTTTCTATGCCTGTAAGGTGACGATTTGGGTTTTTATGTACTTCTGCATCCAATACATTGTGGGTTGGATCCTGCAACAATCTGTTGGATGAATTGCCAAAATTACTCATTTGCATGAGACCTGATACAGTCTCTCCAATAGCTTTCTTAGTTGATGTCAGATCTGTCCTCTCGACAGAAGACCACAAGTTCACAAAGCCATCTTCATTTCTTGACAAAGCTTCACTTAGTGCCATACTTTCAGGATTCTGCTGATAATCCCCTAATTGCTCATCATCTGAAGCTACTTCTGGAATAACAGGAAGAGTTACATTCAGCTCTCCAGGACCTGAAATCCCAAGTGATGCTCTCATGATGTGGTTAGAGTCATTCTTAATACTTTGAGATGGATCCGTATTACCACTATCGTATCCACGAGGAAGGACAGCCATTTCTGAAGTTAATGAGCAAATATGGCTTGGCTTTTCACTAAAGATTGAACTGTCTGGAGAAATCTCTTTGAAAACGGATGCATGGCTTGACACATCTTCTTTTAATTCATCAGTTAGAGGTGCACGCTTTTTCACTTTCAAAGCATTTCTTGGTGCTGGTTTTGGTGGTACAGAGTGTGTTTTGTAACTCGGCTCAGGAATTGCCATTTCAGTTTGCAGAGGAATGAGGACTCTTGCCACTGGTACTGGTGGCTCCATTTTAGATTCAACTTCCTTCTCTAAGGGGTTCCCACTAGTATGGACAGAAATTGTGTCTTCTTCATCAGGCTTAGAGCCACAACTATTTTCTGCATTTAATTCAATTACCTGGCTGCTATTCTTTTCAAATGGATTTAGTGCTTCTTTATTTTCATTTACCTCAAGTGAATCTTCATCTGCACAGTCATTAGGACTAATTATTACATCCTCTTTCGATTCATCAAGGGCAAAGTCTACTGACTTTTTCATCCCATTGTTTTCTTTAAAAGGCAGTACTATATGCACTTTGTCATCATATGGGGCTTTTGGGTTCACTCTAACTAGGTCAGAAGACTGTGGTGGAGGACTCTCAGCTAGAGAGCCAGAGAAGTTGGATATAGCATCTGACTGATTAGTTAAGTTTTCATTTTGAAACTTTTCTGAAGAAACATCATCAGGGTACTTGGAATTATCAATGTTTTCAGCTACAGATATAGAACTTATAGATGTGGGAGGACTTTTAATTCTTTCAGATTCCTGTCCTACTTTGACTACAACAGGATCGTCAACTTTAGAAAGCTGAGAAGGAATAGTATGAGTTTCAGTAATGGAAGCTGCAGAGTGTACAGCGAATAAGGAAGAGCTTTCCATCTCCTGCGCCTGAGATTCTTGTTCCCATTTAGGACTGAAAGGATTATTTTCAGGGCCAGAAGCTGAAGGAAGAGAGACAGAAACTGCAGAGCATACCAAGTCTCTAGAATCCTGCATCCATTTTGCAGTGAATGGATTATTAACAGAAACATTCTTTGAGCTAGCAAACCGACCAGCTTCCTGAGTTTTCTGTTCTGCATCCAATTTAGAAGTAAAAGGGTTATTTTCATTATTTGAAGGATAGCAAGTAGGAGGAAGAGGAACAGGAGGAAAAGAGGTGGCTTTGGTTTCATCCTCTGAAGACACGCCCAGTCTGTAAGAAGGGACAAAATAAAACCTGCATGTCAGTTGCAGATGCAACCCGAGACAAGCAGATACATTTTAGAGAAGAGGTTTAGAGAAGCTGCTGAATGTTAGTAATAAGGAGGGATATAGGACTTTAGTGGAAGCACCCAAGCATACTTTTGTGCTGTGATATTTTTTAATACTGTAAATGGAAAAGCGATAAACTGCATCTTAGAAAATCTGTCTATAAAGTATTACATTTTTGTTAAACCCAGTGGATTAAATAGCCTGCACGAGCAGCAAAGCCCTCAAATATATAAAGCAGCAAAGACACAAAAGTTAGAAAGCACAGCAGTTTTTGATAGTCGCACTTTCTCTGTCTCTAAAATATAGTTAGTACAAAGTCAAAGTTACAAGACATAGTTATCACATATATAATATATATCACCAAATTAAAACAATGAACCTGAGTCACTATCAATATTCCTCAGTATCTATAGTGACGTACTTTGATTAAACATTTAGTTTGGGACATGTGAACTACTTTGCAAATCTAATCAGCTTATACAACATAAAACAGCCTAGTTTTCAAATAATTCTTCCAATTCCCTTCGTGTTCCAGCTGTAGAACCTCTATGAGGAACATTTCTACCCTGAGGACAAGAATAGCAACTATTTTGCTTTCTTTCCTTAAAAAAACAACAACAATAAGGTAGCTTGCACAGGCCATATGTTACTCTCCTTTTTCTAAGAATACAGAGCACCATGCAGGTCACCTGCAGAATGATCTAACTGCTAAATACCCAGATCAGATACACCCTGAAATTTAGACCTGTCCCAGCTAAAAGATCAATCTTATTAAATGTATTATATGCTAATATGTTTGTGACCTTTGAAACGGCATCCTTGATCCCACCCCACTCGAGATATCTATGGCACGCACTCTCCTCCTGGGGTTCTGGAAGGCCTGAAGTTGCTTTTTTATGTATAAAATTTATATGCTGCCCATCTCACTTGCCAAAGAGACTCTGGGCATCATGTAACTCTGAATAGGTGAGACTGTGGAACCCCTTGTAGGCTTGTTTGTTAAGGTTGCTTTTTTTTTGTGGGGGTTGTTATGTTTTGATATTATGTTTTTAACTGTTCACTGTGCAGTCCAATGTTGTAAGCTACCCAGTGTTCTAAAGTGGGCAGCCTTGACAAGTAAGATGATGGTGATGAAATCATCTTTACATTAGCAGAAAGCTAAGCATTTTTTTTTACAAACCTGGGCTTGACATGTTTCGTCTGAGAAGGTTTCACCGAAGCGGCATTTTTTTCTGGTTTCTCCCCTTCCACAGTGTTCTCACTGAAAGGGTTTGTTGATGTCTTTGCAATCACAGCATCTGCAGCGCTACTCTTAGCTGGGCCGTGGCCCCTTCTGCCATTCACGGGGAGCTCAAAAGGGTTGGTCTCTTTTCTGGCCAATTCTTTTTCATTACGCTTCGCTTCCTTCGCCTTCAGGGAACTCTCAACGTTGCCCATCTCCTCGCTGGTTTTGGTTTCTTTTTTCCCTGTCACGAGAGACAGCAAGCCGGACTTCTTGTTCTCCGGTTTTTTGATCTCCTTGGTTTCTTTCGGAGTGTCTGAAACAAACGGAGTGTTGTTTTCCATCGAATCCCCACCAGCAAGCAATTTGTACGATGGCAGAGTCATGGCTTTAAAGGTTTCCAACGACGACGACCCAGAGGGCAACTTATCAAGGGCCAACCTGGGAGGGTTTTCAAGCTCCTTGTCGCGTTCGAGAGACAGGTTTTCCTGAGAGAGAAAGAGGCGTTTTCGCTGGGATGTCTGAGGAGAAGATGGAGCGCCTTCTTTGGCGACGAGGTCGCTCTTTGGTTCATTTTCTTCCATGTAAACGTGGCTGCCATTGATACACAAATTGGACCTGGAAACCGGATCATTTTTGGATCTGAGACCAAATAAAGAATGCATATCCTTCTTAGCGCTGCCGGCCATTATTTGGTTTAATTGCTTGGAGTCTCCACTACCGGTTCTCTTGTGGGTCATGGCAGAAGGGGGACCAAGCACATTATTGTTGGTTCTGCTTGCAGGGGGCTCTGAAAAGAAAAAAAATAACACTGCTATCAGCATTTGGTAAGCAAATAATTTCTGAAAGAACGTCTCTATACAAATTGAGGATTTTTAGAAACAATGTATTTATGGTTTTGGGGTTACTGAAAGCAGACTTAAAATAACCAATGACATATACTACAGAGCTTCATGACAGCTCCATTCTCTCAAAGACAGGGGGAAAATCAATTTTAATCAAAAAAGAAAATATACGGTGTCTCAAAGTTAGACAGCCCTCAGAAGAGTTTGTGAAACCGCTTCTCTTAACGAAGAGGCTACTCACTCTCAGAGACCGTTGTCAAAGTGTCATCATCATCATCATCACTCCATTGTGACTGAAAGTCAGCAGGTCGAAGTCGAACCCTCTCCGAAACAGGCTGGAGTGTGGGTAGCACAGACATGGACTGGGAAATATTGCTTTTATGCAAACCAGGCTTAGAGAACAGTGTCTTGAACTTTGATTTCTTCTTCTTCTCATTTGACTCTTCTTCACTGTCGGCTGGAGAGTGAGTAATGCTAGGAATAATTGCTGAAGCTGTGTCTGGCAATCCATTGCCCCGTTTTCCTTTTAATTTTTTTTTCAGCTTGCCAAAGGGAGTCCGGGGCTTATCCTTCATGGACAGGTCAAACATGCTAGCTGTCATGTTGCTCCTCATGAACTGGATATCCACCTCAATCTCGCCCCGCTCTTTTTCCTTCTTCCCTGGTTTGGAGTGAAGCTTGTACCATCTATGTACATGGAAAGTGAAATCAGGAATTAGGAACATGAAGACACGAATTCCAACACGCTTGCTGCAGAGTTCTACCTCAAATAAAAAAAAGAATCAAATGTTCTATGGGTATGAAATGATCCAGCAAAGGTTAATGTAAAAAAGAGGGGGGGGGAATCATAAAAGTATTTATTCCTCCAATGTACTACATTATTCTCAAAATACTTAATAGTTATAGCTTTTTACTTTAAAACTAGGGTACAAATATATATAAAAAAAGGGTCTCTATGCTTACATATCTTAGAAGGGTGGGTAGTTCTGAACGGGAATGGGAAAACTCATTGCAGGCAATTCCCCACAGCCCACTTGCCACAGACAATTCCCTATGGCCAACTCGCCGCAGGACCATTCAACAACTCAGTTGGATTATTTAAAATAGTTAAACCATTATTTCAAGTTTTGATAGCCAGATTTCATTTTATCCCTCCTTTGGAATCCTTTCTTTAATGTTTCTATTCCACTATTTTTTCAATATTATGTAACTCTTCTCCCGCATCAAATTGTCGCATGGAGAGTTGGCTGTGGTAAGTTGTCGTAGACCCTTCTGAACTATGAGGCAAAGAAAACCTTGAAAATTCCTGCTCTTTATTCCCAAATGATGTTCATATTAATTTAGTGTGAATTTAAGTGCATCATGTTATTCATCCATTTATGTATATGTCTATTGATCAGACATGTCAAATCCAAGGCCCGGGGTCCGGATGCAGCCCGCAAAGTGGTTTCATGTGGCCCGCAAAGCCATCCTGGAAACAGTGAGGGAACGGCACCCGCTGCCTTGGCCTTGGCTGTGTTTCTTGCCTGCTTTTCTCCCCCCCTCATCTCAAATATTTTCCCACCACTCTGTACTTAGGAAGAAAGGAAAGGAGAGGGAAGGTCTGAGGGAAGTCCTACCGTAGTCCTGCCCTGCTGCCCTTTCACCATCCCCGTGCCCCCTTCTCCTGGCCTATCCTGGGGGTCTCCCATCCTATTGCTAAGGAAGCTTTGGATACAAAGCCGGGTCTCCTCCCATGGAGAGGGAATGGGCCTCCCTCTGACTTCGCCCTCGTACCCATCATGAGCAACCTGGCTAAGGAGAGCAAGCACAGCAGCAGCAGCCTTGAGGAGGAGGTAAGTGCAGCTAGGCGCCCCCTTAGGGAAGTGGGGCTGGGCTTGGTGCTGCGGGCCAGGCTGGGCATTTGACCTCTGCTGCCCAGGGCTCCGGGCAGCCCGCACCACCATCCAGCCCCCCCAACATGGCCTAAGAGGAATGGTGAGGCTCCTCCATTGGACCATGCCTTGGCACTTGCCCTGGTCCCACCCCCTTCTGTCAGAGACCCTCAGATCTGTCCCACTCCTGCCCAGGCCCCCATGACGCGAACGAGGTAGAGCTGGCCATGCCCACCTAATAGGCCACACCCACTCCATGCCCACCCAGTAGGCCGCACCCACCCTGGCCACACACCCCCGCCCCCCCGAGGGCAACCGCAATGCTGATGTGGCCCTCAATGAAACTGAGTTTGACACCCCTGCCATAGATAGTAATTAGTTTTGTAATTCCCATTTAAGGAGATTTTCAAACTGTTTAGCAAAAGAGGAACACGTTTCTGTAAGAATTTAAAACACCCTTATGAAAGTATAATACACCCAGAGAATTTTTTATAGTGGGTAGAAAGGAAAATTGAGGTACTTAAACAGGATGAGCCTTACCTAAACTGAAGATGTAGATTTATCTGCTGCTAAGAAAAGTGGGAGCTTTCACTCTTAAGATACAGGAATATAATTGGAGAAACGTTTTGCTTTTAATAGGAACTTGAAACTTTTTTTCTAGTTCCCCCTATTCTGTCGGTGTGTTTCTTGTTATACAACAGTTCTGTCATTTTAAATTGCAACAATATAAAAAACACCGTAAGGATTTGGCTGTTTCCCAAACTCTCTCCTTAAGATGCTGAAATGCCAGCACTGCTAGACATAAGGAAATATATTTTGAAAGAATGAACTGCTTCTCTACTGAAGCCTAAGATGCAAGCCATCTTGGTTTCTCTAACCTTTTGGTTCCCTCACAGGTACAACATGAACCAAGACAAGTACTGTAGTATAGTCTTGAATGGAACTGGATACAGCTTAGGAGATAGCATGACTAGAAAGAAAGAAAAGAAGAAAGTTATTACCAGAAAAAAAGATTTTAGAAGCAGAAAGAGGAATCTATTTACAGGTAGTCCTTGACTTACGACAATTGGGACCAGACTTTCCACTGCCAAGGTGGTTGAGTTACACCCAATTTTATGAGATTTTTTTTTTTTTTGCCACTGTTGTTAAGCAAATCATTGCGGCTGTCAAGGGAATCATTCGATCATTAAACAAATCTGGCTCCTCCTTTGATTTTGCTTGTCGAAAGCTGGCTGAGAGGGTCACAAATGGCAATCACGTGACCCGGTGATGCCCTGGAAATAATACCAGCCGCAAGAGCCCAAATTTTGATCACACGGCCATGGTTGTGACGGTCGTATGTGGGGAGACAGGTCATTAAGTCACTTTTTCAAGTGCCACAGTAACTTTGGTTGTTAAACTAAGGCTTGCAACTCAAGGACTACCTGTGTTCATGCAATTTCTCCTTTCATTTGAAACATTCCCATATTATTATAAGAAAAAATTGCATGCATTAAAAGTTTACATACCAAGTCTGGAGAAAAGAACGAAACAGAGGAATAGAATGAGAAAAGGCACCAGATATAAAGCAACTGATCTTCCACATTCCTTCCTGCCTCCCTCTGAACGGCAGATGAGATGGGGCAAATGCTCTTCAACTAGGTCACCTAAGTCAGAGGTCCCCAATCTTTTGAGCGTCAGGGACCGGATCCAGGGAGTTTTTTTCGTGGACCAGAGGGGGCGTGGTTTCATGTACTGCCTGCATCCTACGGATGGGGCTTTGCTTGTTTGCGCATGCCACAGTCCAATGCTGGTCCACGGACCAGGGGTTGGGGACCCTTTCCTAAGTGATATGGTTCTAAGTGGGATATTCCTTAGTTCAAACCATGACCATTACCTGCACATGGGTGTGTATTTGCCATCCCATAGGAAAAGTACTACTGTACATCAAAAATCACCCCCTTGGTAAAAGGCTCTGTAAAAGGATATAATTTTCAAATGGAAAGATACCAACAGATTTAGAATACATGATGGCATTATAGTCAATCAATTGCAGATGTAAAGGTGATTAAATCAGTAAAATTTAAGGAGATCACCCAGATCTGGTTTTCCCCTATAAAACCAATCCAAGGGCTTAGCTGACATTGTGCTGCTTATTGTCTTAAGAAAGTTATGAACAGGGCCTTTCCTTCAAACATTCTCTGGATGCTTATCATGGTTGTACAAAGAATTTGAGACTGTCAGGGCAAACTTGGTAAGCCTGCTAGACTTGTTATAGTTCAGCCTTTACAAGAGAGCTGCCATTTATCAACTATAACAGATTTTAAGAAAATAATGTTATCATAATATATTGTAATTTACATTCCTAACACTGAAGTATGAGATCCGCCTAAAAACATGCCGACTAAAGAAAAGGATCATGTTATTTTGTTCTAAAATATCATTTTTTGTACTCCAAAAGAAAACAGTGATACATCAATTAGCTACCATGCACGTATATCTTTATTTTAATCAGATGGTTTTATTCAAGGGTGAATGTGAATATGGTGCTCAACTATTATTACTGAAACATACAAGAAATTTTAACAGACTAGCAGCTATGAATCTGGAAGCTCTTTGCATTATTCCACAGAAGCCATTTTAAAATAAACACAAATAGCCTCCTTTACGACATTTAAACAATCATAAAAACATATGTAAAAATTAGGGGAAGTACTATAAATACGACTTTCAATAATGAAGATGCAAGCGATTCATCTTACTACCACTTCCAGCTTGAAGTCTGTACAAAGAACTTCTATTTATAGAAGTTTATCTACCATCCCAAAGCAACTTTGCTCCTACAGAGGAACAAGTAGCATATGATGGAGTTATATTTCACATAACAATGCACATTTACTTTCAAAGCACATTCTCACCAGAAAGAATAGACAATGATTTTTAATGTATGAAAAACTACCTATGGGAGGAAATAATTTTAAGAATATATATATATATATATATATATATATATATATATATATATATATATATATATTCTGTTTACAAGTGTTTTTCTGATGGTATTCACATGTTTCTTGTATCACAAGGTGGATAGAGCAATAGGTATATATGTAAACTCACTTTTCCAACTTCTCTCTAAACTAGCAACATTCAAATTCTTGTTACAGAATCAAGTAGACTGTTTTGTGGGGCTGCTAAAATCTAATGTCAGTAAATGACTATAAGGATATACAGAAAATTCTGACTCATTCCTAGCAGCTACTGAATATAGATACTTCACCTGCCCGGATCTTATGATGCACGTTTTATAAAAGGAACACACCCAACATGAGTTTACAAATTGCCATATAAACATTTGAAAACATTCTCATCCTGATCGAAAGGACACACCCGCTGAAACCTTGCATTAACTGTAGAATTTTAGATTCCAGTATTTTGTTCCAAAGATAAATGTCTATCCTAGGGGTAGGCAACCCTGGCTCTTTTATGACTTGTGGACTTCAACTCCCAGAATTGCTCAGCCAGCGTAGCCAAGGTTACCTACCCCTGGTTAAATAGCCCTACATTTTGGACTGAAATTGAAGTCTTCATTCTTTTTCAATAACTCCTAGTTATTGGTACCTTAATCGCTTTCCTTTGGATTATTTACCTCTCTTTCCCTCTAACCCTCAGTCTCACATTACTAGTACTGGTAGTTCAACCTATTAAAAGTATGTTATTTAAATTAACACTGGAGTTTGGGGAAAAAAGTTAATCTCCAAACATTCAACATTCACTGGTATTTCATCAAATTACTGGATTCTACCCATCTTCAGCCATCAATATTTCTAACTTAATTTTTATACCAATATTCTATATTACCATATTTTCTGCCGGTTCACAATTCTTTTTCAGTTCAAGTTGTAATTTAAAAATGAAGCTTTTTATTTCACCATCGTCCCCAAATTTACAAATGTAAACATTCTCCATTTAGTTTTTCATAATCAAGCAAATTCATCCTTCGCTCCAGAAGACACACAAATATATCTTATTTTACTGAAATCTATTAGATTCTTAAAGGACAGCTTTTGTTTACAGTATTGAAAGCCAATTTTACTCACAAAGATGAATATTTACTTTGAAAAACGTAAAAGGAATGCAACTGCATTTATACAGGATAGGTTTATCTTTAACTATTAGCAGATCAACATCTATTAAACAGAACCAATATGATGTACTGAGTATTAGCTGCTGAGTGAAAAATAAAAACAAGAGTTGATCATTTTATACCTTCCTTGGGCATTTCTTGGAAGTATTATTCGGTTTTGTATTGGGGTTTATTTCTATAAGCTGAATGGAGTCACCATGATGAGTAACTTGGGTGGCCACGTAAATTTTCTTAATAAAATAAATAAAAAATAAAGTACAGTACTTGAAAACAGGATGTTATTTTTAAAAAAATAGGCTTTCCTTTTAATTAAAAGTCTGTATTAAAAGCACAAACTAAAGTGTGCTGGCTAGCCTCTAATTGTATCCAGCAGAACTATTCCACCCCTCCATTTAATTCAAATGACTATTTTAACCGAAAGCACAAAACTAAACTAAAAAATTGCTGAGCTGGCCTATCCAAAACGTTTATGTTAAATATGAACATGGCCTTTAAAATAACATTTTATTCTCCTAATAAAGGAACGCTATCTGGGTTCCCATTTCCTATTCAACTTTTTGAGGGGCTCACGCAATACACCTCATCATGAACCACCCAAATGGGTGGGTTCTCACAACACACAAAACATACAAACAGGTCCTACTCCAAAAACATCCCCTCTTGTCCCATTGGGCCAATTTCAGCCAGTATTCCCCTTCATTTCAGGTATACACATATACACTGCCCCTGAAGGTGGAGGCTCCATTTGACGCCTACCACACATCTAATGTGCAATTATTTAGACAATTAGATCTCCAGATATTAGATTAGATAACCTTTATTGTCATTTTTTTCCTGTGGGCACCATGACACACATTAAAAATGAAATTTAGTTGCTTCCTCTCAAAGTGAACACGGGCATAGCCCACATTTAAAACATAACTATATACAGCATTAGAGATCTCATTGACAGATGTCTAGAAAATTGACAATTAGATCTTCAGATGTTTCGCCGTGGGAAGGGGGAAAGATAGATAGATAGATAGATAGATAGATAGATAGATAGATAGATAGATAGATAGATAGATATTCTTTCACATTTCTCTGCTTTTTCTCAGGGAAGTCCTAGTGAAAAACGAGCTTGGGGCCCCGACAGGCGCATCCCCTGCCCTGCTCTTTCTTCCTCCCCGCGCAGGTAGACTGCCCCTGAGCCTGGAGGCTCTCCCCGCTCGCTCGCTCACCGGGTGCTGCGGCGGCCGCCTTCGCCCTGCAGCTCTCCGAGGCCGATCTCGGCGCGGCCCAAGAACTTGTCGAGGCCGAGCAGCGCGCGGTGGAGCACGGTCAGCTGCAGCACGGCGTTGGGCCCAGGCCCGCCGGCCCCGCCTAGGCCCCGCCGGGGCAGCGAGGGCAGCTCGAAGGTGGCCTCCTCCCGCCACACGGGCGAGCCGAGGCAGCGCTCGGCCACCGAGGTGGCGAACTTCTCCTTGCCCAAGGCCATGACGGCGTAGGCATCGCTGCTTCCTCCTCCGCCGCCGCCCTTGGCTTTGGATCGCAGCCCCCGCGCCTGGAGGACCGTCACTTGGACGTGCGTCGGGGCCCAGCGCGGGGCCGGGGAGCTCGGGGAGTCCGGCAGCGACATAGCGGTGGCTCCGTCCGCCTCAGCAGCGCATCCGTCAGACCGGCGGCGGCTCCGCCTCCTTCTCCTCCTCTTCGCGCGACCAAGACTGAGCAACCGGCACCGAGGCGACGCCAAGCAGTCTGGTGCCTAGTCTCGCGAGAGCGCCACGCCCCGCCCCCTTCCGAAAGGAGGAAAGAAAACGCTTGAAGGGGAGAGCCTCGAGCGCGGATCTCGCGAGATCTGCCAAGGAACAAGGGGCGTGGCCTCCAGCCTAGTTTTGTGGGTGGGGGGAAGCTGGAGTTTGTTTATCCCAGAGGTAGGCCACCTTGGCTCTTTTATGACTCGTAGACTTCAACTCCCAGAATTCCTGAACCAGCATGGCTGACTCAGGGATTCTGGGAGTTGAAGTCCACGAGTCATAAAAGAGCCAAGGTTGCCTACCCCTGGTTTAATCCGGTGCCTCCTTTTGTGGTTTTGGTTTGGAGCCATTCCCATTGCGAGGACGGCAGCGGGGCTAGTGCAAAATATGCGGAAGGCCGTCGGTTGCTCTGCCTTTATTTGCACATAGCTGCGGTGCAAATAAAAGCTTGTTGGGGGAAAAAAAAATAAAGGACTCAGCTGAAAAGGGACAAAGCTAAAGAGGTTTGTAAGGATATAAAAAGAATTGTTTGTGGTTATAACTTTGCTTTAGAAAGGAAAATTCGAGAGCAAGGCCAAGGGACAACTTTACAAAAACGCCTGCTCCAATAAAAAAAATACCTAAAATTCAATAAGTAAATTTGTACTTTAAAAGACTAATTTATTAGAGGGGTCCTTGGTGCTCTCTGAGCTAGGTGGTTTTCTTGCAGGTGTTTCATTACCAAACCTAGGTCACATCAGTGCTATTCTATTTCCATATTTTTCACAAGAATGTAAATGCCCATTCCTTAAATGGTACCATTTGTACAGTGTAAGTTAAATGCCCAAAAGGACCAAAGTATGTTTTGGAAAAATAAAGACATCTAAAGGACACCTTCCTGATATAAAAAGACTGTCCTCTGTAATAAAAAATGAATAGTCACCATACATATAGCAGATTCTGCCAAATTCATGGCTTTCCATTGCTTTTTATTAAGAAAATTGGCGTGTCTATAACCTATTAAACATAGGTCTATATTTTCACCTTGGATTCCCCTGTCTGTAATTGTTTGCTGGATAAATCGCTGTTGCTTAGGGTTTGGTTTGGTTTTTATTCTGGGGCACAAATTGAGTTTATAAGTGCAGTATATGGATTATACTGAAATTTGGACCATAAGAAAGGCTGAGCGCCAAAGAATTGAGGCCTTTGAACTATGGTGCTGGAGAAGACTCCTGCGAGTCCCCTGGACTACAAGGCAATCCAACCGGTCAGTCCTAGAGGAGATCAACCCTGACTGCTCTTTAGAAGGCCAGATCCTGAAGTTGAAACTCAAGTACTTTGGCCACCTAATGAGAAGGAAGGACTTCCTGGAGAAGAGTCTAATGCTGGGAAAGATTGAGGGCAACAGAAGAAGGGGATGCCAGAGAATGAGGTGGCTGGATGGAGTCACTGAAGCAGTAGGCGTGAGCTTAAATGGACTCCAGAAGAGGGTAGAGGACAGGAAGGCCTGGAGGAACGTTGTCCATGGGGTCGCGATGGGTCAGACACGACTTCACAACTAACAACAACATATACATTGCATTCAACTTACAGGCAAATAAACCACAGGATGACTGAGCAGCAACCGTAAATGTGGCATGTAAGGATGCTGCTAACAGGCCCAGAAATTGGGACAAACATATAAAATAATGCCTAGACAGCCGTAGCTACTAGTTTGGGGAGCAAGATCTGAAAAGAGGTAGTTTTTTTTTTTAGACTTTCCTGCCATTTCCTGGCTGAGTTTTTGAAGTAGCTCAAAAAAGCTAGCAAAACTTCTGACACTAAAGTTCCTTGAATGGCTTCTTTATATTGGAGAAAGGATTTCTGCTGATTTACTAGTCATTTCTATGTTAGTGAAGACTCACAGCAGGAAAAAAAAAAAGGGGGGGGGATATCTGGTATTTCTTTTGTGAAACTAAAGAGCCAATTTGTCTTAGAGTATATACAGAGTTCATTTCTTCCTGAGGGTGAATAAACATGGCCCTGTCCACAAGCTAGCAGTTAAATAATAATAGTTTCACTTCAGAAGGGTGTAGTTTTCCACCATAGGCAATCTGAATGCATTCAAGCCTGAATGTCTCGCATTTCCTTTTTTAGAAATGACTTAATGCATAAAGACTCCACCCTGCATTGCGACATTTAGAAGCCTATCTAAGAAGTTAATTTAGTGCTTCCCAAACCTGGGTAAATTACTCCAAAATAAATACTTCCCTCCCCCCCTTTGGACAGCAACACATGAACCCATTACCCAATCCCAAAAGGGACATTTAAATAAGATAAGCGGTTAAAAAGGATTTTCTGATAAGCGATTCCTGTGCATTTAAGGATAAATTTTGCCCAATAAGAACTGAGAAAATCTTAGTCTTTATGATCCCTGACGTATGATTACAGTAGATGTAACATTTTATTTGTTGTTGTTAGTTGCGAAGTCGTCTCCGACCCATTGCATTAAATTTGAAAATCTATTTTGCTGACATGAGGGAATCTAACTTAGGGACAAAAAGTCACCAACTGACCATTGAAGGCCAGTATGTTTTACATTTATAAAGTTGAAGCATGCAAAAGACTGTATATTTGCCTGAAAGTAAATATTGTTGTATAACTCTGGGGTATAAAGGAGAGGTCCTCAATCTTTTGGGCACCAGAGACTGGTTCCATGGAGAGAGGTTTTTTCACAGACCGGAGAGTGTGTGGTTTAGTGTGCTACCTGCATCCTGTGGATGGGGCTTTGCTTGTTTTGTGTGGACCAGTTGCTGGCATGCCCTCGACCGGTGGCGGTCCATGGATTGGGGGTTGGGGACCCCTGGTGTAAAGGACATGCAGCAACTCAATGTCTGGAGGCTGCAATAGTTTGGATGGGATGAATCAAGTAATAACCTAAGAAGATACAGCTGCTCTTTGTTCTTTGAAGTCTTCAGTGTTGTTTCTGGGTAGGGCATATTTAAGGAAGCATTTCAGAGACTTTGAGATCGCAAGACCCAGCAACTATTAGATGGGGAGATGAAGGTTGTAGCCACCTGACTACTGCAATGTATTTATTCCATATGGATTTGGCTTTTAAGATGCTTTGAAAGCTTCCCTTGGTCCAGAATGCAACGGTCTGTTATTGGCACATAGGTAGCCACCAACATGGCCATATCAGCCCTGTCCTTCAGGCTTTGAGCTGCCTTTCTATTAGTTTCAAAACAATTCAAAATCCTTGTTCTCAATCTTTTCAAGCCATGCCTTCCTTGCCTCCAAAGTGATTGCAGGAATTCTTATCTGCTTTGATTTTTTTTAATATACAATTTTCACAAACTTTTAAAAAGGAAGATAAAAACAAATACAAAGTCATACGAACTAAGGAAGAAAAACAGAAAGGAATCAGAAAGAAAGCTAAATATTCAAGAAAAGAAAAGAAAGTAAAAAAAATATGAAAAAAAGAGAAAAAAGTAGCTTCTGATATACTTCACAGCAGTTATAAGGACAATTATATTTTAATCCTGGTAGCACAGTGGTTAGAATGCAGTATTACAGGCTAACTCTGCCCACAGTTTGGAGTTCGATCCTGACCTGCTCAAGGTTGACAACCTTCCATCTTTCCGAGGTTGGTAAAATGAGGACACAGATTGTTGAGGGCAATAGGCTGACTCTGTAAATCTTTTAAGGCTCTAAAGCACTGTGAAGCGGTATATAAGTCTAAGGACTAGTGCTATTGCTATTAATCTTTTTCTCTAAAATTACATCATGATTCTTCTTTATAATGTCTAATCATTAAAGCTAATCTGTAAATCACAACTTTTTTTTTCATTTTTTCATTTTTTTCCCATTTCCCATAGGGGTTTCTATTCACACTTACAGTATCTGCTTTAGTTTTGACACTTCTGATTCAAATTTCAGGGTTATTTCAGAGAGCTTCAGGGACTGAACTATGTCACTTTGTTTATATTTTTATTTTAGATATTTACTGTATTTCCACTGGTGCATGCGAACTGCTGAGAACAGTCTGATTGCAACAGAGTATTCCAGTAAGTAAATCAATAAACATTATGACATGTAAATTCAGCTTTATTTGAACCATCGGTCATCTTCTTCATTTTCCTCCTGAGGCCATATTAATTACAAAAAATAGAAAACAAAGAACTTTTACCAGGCATGTTAGATACTTAGACTACAGTTTAACAGTAAATCTGCTTCTTTGTCTTTTTACATCATTCTGTTGTATTGGTTGGTTTTATTTATCCATTGGAGAGTTTAATAGCAACAGCAAAATTTTACTAACAGGACTTAGAGCTATAATGTTTTATATCATAATGTTACTAATATTAAATTTCACTTACTGCTGAAGTGGTTGCAATCCTTTGTATTGAGATTGAGTATTAACCCAATGTTTGATGGAAATAAGAATCTGTTGTCAAAGCTGTCTTCCCAGAAGTGCAAATTTAATCATCCTTTTCAGCTCAAAGCCTAGTTATTTATAGCTCTGAATCTGTCACTGCTATATGTAAATGTAAAAGGATTTTTATATATGAAGTTGAATACAGAGCTTTCTTCAGCTAAATGGAAATTCTTCCTCACGACCTGGATTACTTAGACAAGACTTTGCTTGAGGACATTTCACAGTAGTTAATGTAATGTAATGTCTAAAGATTTGGATCAGACCATCTGCTGCTGATTTCTGCCACACAGTGTGGAAAAAGGCATGGTTGTGGCTGTCCACATTTTGCCCAGCAAAGTTTATATTGTAAAATAGAGGTCCCCAACCTTTTGGGCATCAAGGTTGTTCCATGGACCGGAGAGTGCGTGGTTTTGTGTGCTATTTGTATCTTGTGGATAGGGCTTTGCTTGTTTGTGCGGACTGGTTGCTGGCATGCTGTGGCCCGGTACTGGTCCACGGACCTGGGGTTGGGGACCGCTGTTGTAAAGGATTCTTATGCCTAAATGATGTGCTTATAGTTTTGCTACAGCCTACCCTTAGTCAAAGCTGAGAAATGATAGGGTGCTACAGCAGGATGGCGACTATTAACAAAGGCCTGTGAAATCTGTAGGATGGCAGATATGGACACAAACTGATTATGCACCTGAACTTACAAAGATCCTGGAGAAAGGACTGAATCATGAAAAAAGCATGTTAGCAATTCCTTTCTGGCAGCATCAGCCCCACTTATGGGCAGATAGGAAAGATGCTTTTCAAAACACTCATTGATTGGAAGAAACTAATATACTTAAGTTCTACAGTTATTGTCCCTCCACCAAGTTGTTGTTTTATTCACTCCTAAGAGCAATTTCCTGCAATTGTGGCTTTGCACAGAAGGCCACAGAAATGAAGCTGGACAGGTAACCCTGAAACCTTAACTTATATAGCTAGCAGGAAAACCTAGTCAGTTTGGGACGATTTGGCAAACTGGTTAATCAAACCATAGCTTAGTCAGCAATCCAGGAGATGTATGTATGTATGAACTTTGGGCTCTGTCACGGTGCCAGCATTGTGGTACTATTTTAGGTTGGTTTACTTACACTCCTGTTCCAGAACTTTAAACTCTTTTGGTTCGGTGAGGGGAAGGGATTTGCCAACTCCTTCTATCCCTCAATCACCTTTATGTATTTTGCCAAGTCTCTCAGCTTCTTTCAAAAAAAAAAAAAAAGACAAATGCAGGTAAATGCCAGTATTGATGGCTTCTCCCCACCTCCTATTATGTACCTGCTCGTTTTGAAGCAGGAGGTCCTGTTCTTTCAAGAGGAACTGGTGGAAAGAACAGCCAACCAGGTTAAAAGTGTGCTAGGGAGTTTCGGTGTTTACACACTCATAACATTAAAGGGTGTGGTTCTCCTTGATTTAAGAGAGAGCAAACATATTCATTCATGCATGGATTAGTAAACGGTGATTTGACTGTTTTCTGTCCTTTCTATGAGGGAGTCCTCCTTTCTTCCAAAAGTATAGCTTAAAGGTAAATGATCTCTTCTCCTGGGCAAAAAAACAACCTCAAGACATGATTGCAACAGTGAGGGGAAAACCTCTGTCATTCCCTATGTCCTGGGTGCAGGAACAAATGATGATGTCCCCCAATCCCTTGCCCACCGCCCTTTTTCATTTAAAATTGTTCTTTCTAAGACTTTCTAAGTGGTCTCTGCTGCTTTGTTCCAGTTTGGCTGCAGCTCCAGTACCAATACAGATAATTTTACCATTGATCTATTAGGTCAGTGATGGCGAACCTTTTAGAGACCGAGTGCCCAAACTGCAACCCAAAACCCACTTATTTATCACCAGGTGCCAGGTGGGTGTGGCTGGGGTGGTCATGGCAGATTGGGTGGGTGTGGCCAAAGTGGGCATGATCACCTTGATGTTGCTCGTGGGGAGGGACACCTGTGAGGGGCCAGGTGGGATTGGGGGCGATCCGGGGGTCTCTGGCAGGTGGGGCAGTAGGCAAGAGGCTTGTGCTGTGGGTGAGGCGAGGCAAGGCATGGCGGGGGTGCCATTGTCACAGGGCAAGGTGAGGCAGGGGCCGGGGCGGCTGCTGCCTTACACCATCGGCCCCCGCACACAAAGGCCAGCGAGCGCATGGGTGCTGGGATGCATCTGCCCATGTGGGACCTTGGTGAGTTAGCGGGCGGCTGGTTGAAGAGGGACGGTTGCCATCTCCGGGGCATGGCGCGCGTGCCCACAGAGAGGGCTCTGAGTGCCACCACTGTATTAGGTCAATAACCTAGTCTAAAACCAAGATGTTAATGCCCTATTCAAAGTGCATTTACATATGCCAGTGGACAGCATTTTTCTTCTGCTTGGGCTGGGAGGAGAGTGCTCCCAATACTTTCCCACCCCATGCCCATAGTACCACAATCCTTCTCCTTCTCCTTCGCCACCTCCCCCCTCCTCCTCCTCCTCCTCCTTCTGACTGACTAGCCTTACTCTTTTCCTCTGTCTCCTATCCAGCTGCAGGATGTGCTGCCTCTTGGCTCATCACCCCACTTTCTGGAATGTGCTTCCTCTTTCCTGGAAAACTGTTGCTTCACTGTAGTCCACCCATCTCTCCTCCTCCGTCTCTTCTTTCATAACGGGAGACCTCCGGAAAATCCAAATTCTACAGATCTTATTGGGAAGCTGAAAAACATGTACTGGAAGAAAGAGATAAACCATCTTTGCATTATGGAAATATGTCACCAAGAACCAAGTTCAGGTCAACAGAGGTTTTACTTGTTCTAGTTCACACAAGTCTGCATCAGTTCCATTCCACGCAGACCCTCCCTACAATAATTTCCTGGCAAATCACAAATTTACAGAATATAGATTTGAGGTATTTCAGCTATGGTGTCAACGTGGTTGTTCTTAAATATGTACAACAGGCCCGTGTGAGATTAGTTTTTATCTTGTTTTTAAATGTTTGAAAACAAGGAAGAGGGACTAACTGATTCTTATTTGCAAGTGGAGGATGGAGCAAGTGATTCAGAATAAACAAAGGCGGTGTTAAGAAGTGTTGGTGAAGAGCACGTGGGCGACCTGCAGAAGCTAAAAGAACAGACAAGCTGGGAAGTTCAGACACAGCTTTGTTATTGATCTGAAAGAAGAACAGAGCCATAGCTGGAAAGTCCCGGAAATGCTTAGGTAACATGCAATTAAATCTAGTTCTACCTGGTGACTTCTAAAGAATCTGCTGAGATGACTCATCAGTATCATTATAGTTTCTTTCACAAGAAGAAAAGTCTCAAGAAATTGCAAAGCAATTTTTTAATGTTGTGCTGATGTAAAAAGCAAAGCTGAGCTGGGTGGATGAATGAGTAAAGTTTGGCTGGGCCAATATAGTATTTTTGTATTCTTGGCAAGTTCTGTTCTCCCATTAAACACTGCAACATCAGGTATAGCTGGATACAGGCAGTGTCCTTGGGGGCTCCCAGTTCCTACCATTAAGCCTTCTTTTTAAAAAACTTTTTTAAAAGTCCAGGTGGTCCTCGACTTAGGACCACAACTGAGCTCCAAATTTCTGTTAAGCAAGACAGTTGTTAAGTGAGCATTACTGCCTTCCTTTATTTATTTGGTAGTGGTTCACACAGCAACAGAGCAGATGATTCTAATGTATTTACTAATGCTCATCTCTGGGGGCAGCATTTACATGTGGAATGGAGGGTTCTATCCCAAAAAAAGGTTGCACCATCTCACTTCATGGCCTCCTTTGGTGGTAATGTCCATTCACCCTCCTCAAACTATTTTACAGTATTTCTAGGCTCCATAATAAGCTTGATTGACACTCATTTCGGCAATCAAATGCTATTGTTAGGAGCGTCCTTAAGTTCATTGTGTGACTCAGAAGAAATCACAGTTCAAATAGTTTCCCAGATCATCCTGTGGGCCGTGAATGGTGATTTTCTTATTAATCGTTTGCTCCTTTGATCCTCCCCTCTTCATTCCCTCTGCTGTCTCAGAATCAACTTCCCTAACTTGCTAACAACTTTTGTAATTCTTCAGATGGGGGGAAAGGGGAGGGGAGAGATCTCTAGATTTCAAGGACTACAAAACTCTTGCCGTTGCTTCTTTAGCATTTGAAGTCCACCTGCAGTCTTGCTGATAGGCATTGATCCTGCAGTACTGCCTTAGGCTTTCCTTTGTAGGAGTGGTGTTTCAGACAAACAGAAAAGGACTCTTTCCCTCCAGAAACCAGTGTTTTATGTAGGATAGTTAATTATAAAGAGTGCAATGGATGACACTGCTGGAGATACATTGTGACTTCAATTGGAAGAAGGTCGTAGGTATGAAGGTTTAAGATCTCTGTTAAGATGACGATCAGATTTTTTTTTTTTTAGATTAGAAAGAGAAAAATTAACAAAAGCAAATACTTAAGACGGGAAAGAGAAAAAAGTACTATGAAAATAGAGAGGAAGGAAGGAAGGAAGGAAGGAAGGAAGGAAGGAAGGAAGGAAGGAAGGAAGGAAGGAAGGAAGGAACTTTTCTGGAGAACACAGAGAACTTTGCAATCAGTGTAATTTGAGTTCTCACTTCAGATATCAAACTATGCCATAATTAGCTTGTTTGCGAGATGAAGAAGAATGATTTAGCTGAGAACTATTAGCCATGCAACTTCCCTTGTACTAAGTTTATCATTGTACAAATTCATAATTTGAGCTTAGTATTTTGTATTAACCTAGGTCAGTGATGGCGAACCTTTTAGAGACTGAGTGCCCAAAAACTGGCCCTGCCCCAGCTCTGCCCCCCATCCCCTGCCCCACCTGCCCACAGGACCACTCACCACCTCCAGGGCCCGCTGCAGATCACCCAGGCAGCCCAGCAGTGCTATGGTGGCCACACCCTCTGCCCACGCCCTGCAGCATCAACTTCATGATGGGGTGTGAAGGCAGAGTCTTGTCTACGCTGCCTGGCTGCCATGTCCTTGGCTGCGCTGCTCCGTGTGGGCCACGCTCAAGGGCGACTCTCCTTCAGAGGGACTGCTGGAGAGGAGGGGATCATGGGGGGAGGCAAGGCTGGGGCAACGGCACGTGTGCCCACAGAGAGTGCCGCCTCTGGCACCCGGGCCATAGGTTCACCACCACTGCCCTAGGTGACCTTGGTTTATTCCATGAGCCACGATTAAACAAAACTTAATGTGATGTGTGAACCAGTCACAACCTGTTCTCTAGACCAATGTGGTAAATTACAATTATAATGGAAAATTAAAAATAAAATGGTGTTTCCTAATAGGAATTTTGTTGGGTGCCTGATCTATCCAAATTCACATTTAAATATTAAATATTCAAATGTCATGTGCTTTTGAAAGGTAAGTTCATATTTCAGGAATTCAAACAGAAGCTTATATTTTTTAAGTCTAAGCATTCCTGATGCATCTGAAGGGGGGAAAGGCGGAACTTGAGCTACGGCTTTTATCCATACGAACCGGATGCTGGCTTGCTGATTGGGGTGGGGCTGGATGGCGGGGCATGTGTATATAAGGCACTGGGAACAATTCACTCCCAGTGCTGACTTTTTCGTTGCATTAAAGTTTGCTAGTCACCTGTTCCTTTTGTGTCTGGAGTTTGTCGGCAGCTAGCAAAGGACAGCTGACACCTGAGCAATACCTTGGGTATGCATCACCTCTGAAATTGTCACTTAACCCAGGACAGGTAGATTATAGGAGAAGATTGCCATGTTGCAAAGCAAACAATTAGCCATGCTTCTATGGTTATGGTGTTTACGCCATGTCCTTTTTAAAGCTCATCCATCCGGTATCATCAGACACCACAAAGTAATTAGTTTCCACTTGGCTGATTTATAACTCATTGATCATACTTCTTGACATGAGGTGCTTTGGTTACTTAGGACAAAGCATGTAATAATTCAATATTACAACAGATATAGTACTGGCGGGGGGGGGGGAGATAAAAAAGCTTGAATTGCCTCCATTGCTACCTGATCCCAATAGGGTACATGCTTCATGCTAAGTCATGTTTTGTCACACTACGCATGGTTGACCAAGCCATAGTTGGCAGGGTCATGCACTAGGCTAAGCCAGATGTACAGTACAAATAATGAATGTCTGACTTCACATAACTTGCTAAGTCAAAGCCAAACAAGTATATTGTGCCACAATGCAAAGTATGATCTAGTTAAGCTGAAACTTACGGTACATTCCAATTCTTCCAAGTTTGATTTCATACTGCATTCTCAGGCTAATTAAATTTATTTAATAATTATTTTTTAATTAATTTTATTAAAATAGAAATATTAATTAAAATAAATTAATTCATTAAAAAGAGAACAATGGCAAGGAAAAAACCCTCAAAGGGCAGACACAATGAACTACTACTAGATCTTTTTCAGTCATCATTTTTCTATGTTTCTATTAAGAGTACATTTTATTTTTTTTCTCGATTTTCTTTTTTCTTTTCCTTAAAATGGGGAAGTTATTTAATTTTCATTCAATGAGAATGTTTGAAAAAGGCAAAATAAATTCTCAGAAAAGCACTAGTGGGATATAAAAGGCTTTGTACTTTTCTTCTCTGCACTCAAGCAAAATGCTGCACTTTTGTGAAACATTTGCAGGTGAAGGGCTGAGAAAAAAAATCAGGCTGTGTTTTTTTTCTAATGTGCCTCCAAACAGAGGAACTGCAGCCACTCACAATTCTATGCAGATAAATAATAGACATCTGGTAATCTGACTTGGTGTAACGCCTTTCTTTATGTTCCTAACCTTAGTTTCCTGTATCAAATGTTTGGACTTACACTAGCTGTGTTGCCTAATGCCTCCTGACTTGTGTGCTGTAGCAATGGAAGTATACACAAACACATACAAACAAACAAAAGCCTAGGGCTCAATATGTTGTAATCGCTTCTAGAGTGAGAGGCTTAGACAAGGTGCAATCTAATTAGATCCTGAGAAGAATAGTCCTGATGTTCTAAAGCAGAGAGAAAATCAAATTATTCCTCCTTTGCAGAAGGTGGGAAATGGTTTTGTACCAGCATTATATTAGAAGTCTTGAGGTGGGGTAGGAGTGGGGAGTCTTTTCAAAGACTTTTGAAGGAGGGCAAATTAGCGTGTTAAGGATGGTTGGAAATATTTGTGGTTCCAGCTAGTGCCTGGAGAATTAATGGAGAATATAAAAGTGCTGATAGCTGATAGCCTGAGATAGCACCTTCTTCTACATTACAGCTATCTACATTCCGTGTTGCTCTTTCATTTTACTTAAAATCCGCTGTTTAAAACAGTCACCTTGGTTTCCAGAAGGAAAGAATTGTACTGTCTGGGAGATTCTTCTGTCCTCAGATAAAGATGTTTTGTGAGTAATATTATGACACGATGAAACCAGTAGTTGCCATGTTATCAAGAAGGAACATGATGGGCAAAATGTAAGTGCTTTTTAGGACAGGATAATGTTAGCTGTTATTGTGCGAGCTGATTGAGAACATTTATATGTCTTTTTCACATTAGGCTTCAGAGGGAGTATTTGTAAAAAAAAAAAAAATCCACAATCCTGTAGCTAAAATCAGCTTAGCATTGAAAGCCATTGACGGAATAAAGCAGTTACAAATTGTCATTTTTTTCTGTTTTTAAAGGCTAATCAATGCACAGGCAGGGAAAAGACTTTTTATCTGGCTATAGAGAGAAGAGTTGCTTTAATAAATGACTTCCTGTATTGATGGAAAGTAAGTGCAGGGACATTGAGGTAGGATGAGTGGTTCACTCCCAGGAAAGTGCTTTTGATGGGCAATCAATCAGGAAATAAATAAATGTTACAGGACGTATTGGAGTTTGTGCGCTAGAAACTGTGTGTCATCATTTGTACTGTGGCTGTGTAATAGGAGAGAGGATTTGCCAACATGGCACGTGTGGCTGAACACAGCACCCTTACACTGCATCGGGCAATGGTGAAGGGTGCCATGAGCTACAATTCAGCAAAATCTGAAAAGTTATCTCAGACTATCTGCTATCAGCCCTTTTATATTCCCCATTAATTCTCCAGGCCCTAGCTGGAAGAGGTTTTAGAACCATAAAATAACAAATTTCCAGAGGAAAACAGTTTTATAAATGTGCTAGACAGATTTGAACACAGTGCTCTTGCTGCATGGGGCAATTGTGAAGGGTGCCACGAGCTACAATTCAGCAAAACCTGAAAAGTTACAGTTTTATAAATGTTCTAGACCAATTTGTCTGTGGATAAATCCCATTGAAAACGGGACTTGCTTCCAAATAAATACATTATTTATTGATGGTTGGGTCGATTAATGAATCTGCCCATTAAAATTTGCAGATGTGCATATGAGGAAACAATGCTCTCGAAAAGTCATCCTTTTTCATTCATTTTAGATAATAAATATGCATTACAGAAAATGTTTTCCCTCCCTTATGAGCTCAATTTGGCATGTGTAATTTTTGGTAAAGATGTGTTTTATTTTTAAAAAAATAGTTTAATCGTGACCTATTTTGTAGTGATTTAAATTTGGTATTTTGCCTTTGTCAGTTCAAAGGATATTTTAAATCAGTTGATCTGTCTTCATTTTTTAAATATAATTTTTACTGAAATATTTTTAATAATAAAGGGGGACCAGACAAAAGGCAGCACAACCCAAAGCTGGATAGAAGACAGAGGAAGAGAGTTAGAATAGCCACTCTCTAGAATCTACCAGGGTATATCTGTTAGGATGGGAATAGTAAGGGTTTAGTTTGGCAAGATTCTGTCTGTTGACTGTAAGCAAATAAAGAACTGAATTGCTCCTCATTATTCTTGGGCTTAGCCTGACACCTGACCATTAGCCATTCCTGATTTGGGGTAACTGGATTTGTAATTCAAAATATTTGATGCACAAAACAGCAATCTATTCCTACATGCACACATACACCCTTTACTATATGAAAACTACATGGACATCTCTGCGAAGCCCTAAGCAGCTGAACTCCACTCAAGAGAGATTTTGCCTTACTTACTTGCTGCAGGAAACTGAGTCTATATCTAAAGCATAACACTGACTGCCACACAATTATTGGTGGGGATTATTTTCTTCTTGAAGGCGAACATTTCTTTCAACTCACTTCGGAAGCGATCATGCAACCAGGCATAAAGGAAAGGATTATAGCAGGAAGAGCTCATGGCAAACCAGTGGCAGAGCAGTTGGAACAGAAGGAAGTATTCTTTGTTGATGAGGTTGATATCGATGTCACGGATGATGTTGAAGACATGAATGGGGAGCCAGCAGACAGCAAAAGCAGCCACCACCAACACCAGGAGGCGGAAGATCTTCCTTCTTCTCAGGCGGTCAAACTCTGCCTGGCTTTGTGTCGGATGACCCGGAACGACACGGTTCTTCAGCTTGATGGTGATGCAGCTGTAGGAGAGTGAGACGGCTGAAAGAGGCAGGATGTAGGTGATAATCAAGGTGCTGTAAGCATAGGCCAGGTGCTCCCTCTCTTCTCCTATCCAGAACTCCTCGCAGATGGCAAAGCCTTCCTTTTGGAACTCCACATGGTAGGTGTGGGCAACAGCGGGAGCTACCAGGGCACACGAGAGCAGCCAGATCCCACCAATGACATAGACACATGTCGTAAATGAGATGCGTTTCTTCAGGAGATGCAGAGTGGTATAATATCTGGGGGAGCAGAATGACAGAGTTACAGGATAACAGAGTTGAAAAGGACTTTGTAGGTCTTCTAATCCAACTCTTTGCTTAAGCAGGAAAACCTATACCAGTGATGGCGAACCTTTTAGAAACCGAGTGCCCAAAAACCGCCCCGTCCCCTACCCCGCCTGCTCTGCCCCCACCCTGCCTGCCCCGCCCCACCACCCACAGGGCCACCCACCACCTCCATGGCCCTCCGATTGCCCAGGTGGCCCAGCAGTGCCATGGCCATGCCTTCCGCCCACGCCCCACAGCATCATTGCGTGACAGGACAGAGGATGGACTCTTGTTCCTCCTGCCTGCTGCCATGTCCTTGGCTGCGCTGCGCCGCGCGGGCTCTGCCCAGGGGCAACTCTCCTCCAGGGGGGCTGCTGGTGAGGAGGGGGCCGTGGGGGGGAGGTGGGGCTGGGGCGACAGCGCGTGTGCGTGTGTGCCCAGAGAGAGGGTTCTGAGTGCCCCCTCTGGTACAGGTGCCATAGGTTCGCCACCACTGCCCAATACCATTTCAGACAAATGGTTGTCCAGCCTCCAGTGTTGGAACACCCACGACCTCTGGAGGTAGGTTGTTCCACTGATTAATTGTTCTAACTGTCAGGCCATTTCTCCTTAATTCTAGGTTGGTTCTTTCCTTGATTAGTTCTCATTCATCCAGCAGGGAGAAAGAGAACAAGCATGACCCTTCTCTTGCTCTTTTTTCTGCTCTTTTATGGAATTCTTTTTGGCTTCTCAGTCATATCCTAATCACAGCTCCGTAGGGTGCTGTCAAATCTTTTAGAAAAAAAAATACATTATTATGTAAACATGTTAAAACAATAGAAAAATTAAAACCGAGGACAACATCCAAGATAAATTTCAAGGCCAGTAATAATTAAGGCAAGAAAATGCAGCATAAAAAGCAATCGTGTTTCTTCTGGTCATCATCATTATCGCTGTTGTCATTTTTCTGTGCATTAGGATTAATAATAATGTTTATTATACACATAATAGGAACTTTCCTAGGTGCCCGGTGCTTATTCAAGACACGGTAATCTTAATATACGCAGTAATCAATAAAATAGCAAACACAATCCCTGGGGCAGATAGAACAACAACTGTTATTCCCCAACATCTTTTTAATTTTATTTGTAGTTTTTTTACTTTTAATTTACTACTTCTGTAACAAACGGTTGTCTTTCCAATCAGTGTGCATTGTTATTCCTAGCATAACACTTAGCGCTTTGGTGAATACAAATATTGATTGGTGCCTAACAACTGTGTGCTCACTCCCACCTCAGGTTCATGTCTAGGCACAAATGTCTTCTCACATCACAAAAATAAATTGCCAGTGTTTCCTGTTTTCTGTTTCAGCATTATTCTAAGTTTTACTGCTGCTCCTCTGGAAGTTCAATATTTGGGCTTAATTTTTAAAGAAGCATTTGCTGCTTTGGAACAATATTTTCCCATCCCAATAATACCACCAGGGTCAGGAACATAATCAAAATAACTTGCATTTGCAAGCCCTTGGGATTAACAAATGCTCATTTCGATACTTCTCAAGATCTACATCTTTATCTGGAAAGGCCATCAAAGTCCAGGGTTTTAACTATGGTCTTTCAATTTTCTTTCATGGTATTCAGAGGTGCAACCTTACCAGTGACTAGCTCAGGGGTAGGCAACCTTGGCTCTTTTATGATTCGTGGACTTCAACTCCCAGAATTCCTGAGCCAGGCATGCTGAGGGAAAGGGAGAGGTTTCCAAGCTGAGCCATGCCAGCTCAGGAATTCTGGGAGTTGAAGCCCACGAGTCATAAAAGAGTCAAGGTTGCCTATCCCTGGACTAGACCAATAATGATCAACCGAAGAAAATTCCAGGCTGGTCCACAGAAGCCGGCAAAACCTTCAAGGTGCCTAATGTGGATTTAATCCAGCATTCTTCTCTACCTCTTGGTTTGATTTAATTTATGTTTTATTTATTTATTTATTTTATTTATGAGACTTATATACCGCTTTTTTAAGTGCAAGCTCTCTCTAAGCGGTGTACACCAGTAAGCAATGTATATATATATATATATTTACATTGCCCCCAACAATCTGGGTCCTCATTTTACCTACCCCGGAAGGATGGAAGGCTGAGTCAACCTTGAGCCGGTGAGATTTGAACCGCTGACCTGCTGAACACAGTCAGCTAAAGTGGCCTGAAGTACTGCACTCTAACTGCTGCGCCACCTCGGCTCTATTTCTGTTGGGTTTAATTAAATAAGAGAGGCAGGTCCCAAGATAAAATACATCCCCGAATGATCTCAATCCTTGGGAGTCGCCAATTATCCCATCAGCATCCTTATCACAGAATAAAATAACGGGAACAATCTATATTGTGGAAGAATGAATCACAGAGGCTTTGTATATCTTTTCAGGTAGTCAATTATACCACACACAGCAGGTTCTTCCTGGTCTCTCTCAAAGCCTGCCAATAAACCAAAGGCCTCCTCTAGCTCTGACTTTAAAAAATATATGCCAACTCTTTTCTAAAGTCTGATTTTCTGAGATAAAGGCAGTTTCCCCACTGTGAGCTGTCGGCAGAAGCTGACATGGTCATGAGAGTTGCTGTCCCATTGCCAGTTTCTAACCCACTTAATGGCCTCTGTTCCCCGTCACTGCCGGTTCTCTAACTTTCTTCCAAGGTTGCAAAGCTTAACAGGTATTTTATACTTGGCGGATGTCTTTCGACAATATCGGAATAAAAGGGAAAACGCTCCATCATGGGAGGCTTTGCTAAAGGAAAATTTGCTTCCTTCTCTGCAAGGTAGTCCCAAATCAGAGGAAACACATCACCAAAAATTCAGGTCCGCCAAAATGTATGTATATCCTAACCGGTGTCATCCGTTGCCGCTTTAAAGAATGATCCGCAGATATCAAGAATATTCACTGACGTACCCACCACCGTTTCAAGAGCAACAAAGAATTATTTCCCTAAATTGCATTTTGTTCCTCTTGTGCTGCAGTCAACAGCTTATTTGAGAATGGGAACTATCAATCATGAACGATCGCTGTCTGCATTCTGATATCGAATTATGAACCTATTCTCCATGGCAAGACACTCCTTGAGAATGGAGGGAACACTGGAGGAGGGGGGACCCTACTCAAAGAACATTCATTTGGTTATGGAGGATTTTCTCTATGGGCAGTGAGCAATATAGCAACATTTTCCCTTTTATTTTCTGTAGGCCCTCTACTGAAGAAGCTCCTCCATCTGAAGAGCAGTCAAACCACAGTTGTTTATGGAATATATTCTTTTGATGGATACAGAGTGGAGAGCGTGGGGAGTTGTCGGCCTTGAGTTCTCTAAAGGAAAAGGAGATTAAAAAGGTAAGATTTTCTGAGGGTACATTACCCCTGAATTGTATCTGAAGAGGGATGAGAGGGAAGAAAGGAGAGGAGAGAGAAAAGAGTAGAGGAGGGGAGAAGGAAGTAGGAAGGTTGGAGGAGAAAAGGAGAAGTACTGCAGGCCACTTTAGCTGACTGTGTTCAGCAGGTCAGCGGTTCAAATCTCACCGGCTCAAGGTTGACTCAGCCTTCCCTCCTTCCGGGGTAGGTAAAATGAGGACCCAGATTGTTGGGGGCAATGTAAATATATATATATATATACATTGCTTACTGGTGTACACCGCTTAGAGAGTGCTTGCACTTAAAGCGGTATATAAGTCTCATAAATAAATAAATAAATAAATAAGTGGGGAGAAAGGGGAGGAGAGTGGTGAAGGAGAGGAGAGAAAGAAGAGGGAAGTAGGGAAGAGAAGAAAGGGAGAAAGAAGGTAGAGAAGAAGGAGTGTGGATACAGTGAAAGGAGAAACAGGCGAGCAACACCAAAAGTCATGTGTATGTATTCATTTTATTTTATTAAAAGTATCTTATATATGAATGTAAAAAGAATGTATGTTAACATCTGATAAATATCATGGTATATGAATGGGGGAGAGTTTGGAAAAATAAAAAATTATTTTAAAAAAAGGGTAAGATTTTCTTTTCTCTCTTATCTGCTATTTCACTGAGCCACCACATGTATCGCTTACAAAGGCCAACCGAAGTGGAACATGGTGCACATATGGGCACCTGGATTAAATCCAGGGGAATGCCTGGCCAAGAATCAGATGTAATCTAGTTTTGTCCTGTTATGGACGTGACAAACACGTTAGCCTGGAAAGTTTGAGGAGCTGGCCCTTATTTTCCTACAGCAGGGGCTATAGATATCAATAAATCTCTTATACAATCTGGCCCATTGTTTTCAATCAATATTGTTTGCAACTTGGCCCAGGAGACCATGAACCCTTTAAAAGCCCAAGCAGAGACTCTCCAGAAACCTTCAAAGATTGTCCTAGAATTGTGGCTTCCAGACACGCAATTATTATTTTATATTTTAACTATTTATTTAGTCCCATCAGCTTCAACTTTTTTGTCTTGGTCTTATCTACTTTTTGGGATGCGTCCCACTCCTTTCAGATGTGCTGCTCAATGTATTGGTAGGAAGTGCCAGAGTTACAACAAGCTGCATCTCCAACCTTTGCAAGGACTATGTTGCTATGGAAATGTTCCGTCACCCATTCCCAGTTCCAAACCGTTTCTATGTTTGTCTGGCTCTCCAAAGGCAACAGCTACATTTGATGACCCTGGCAGCGTTTTCTTTCTCTGTGGCAAATAATAAGATATCACATTATTAATTGAAGAACAAGGACAATTCCCATTGCAGTGAGAGACCAGCTGTCTCTGTGATCCTTCCTTGGACCAGGCTGTGAAAAGGATGAGCCGAGCAAATGAATCTAAATCTCTGGTTATAGTCACTCGCTCAGCCCACCTATGGAGGACAAAGGGTGTAAAAATTAACTTATTTACCAAAGCAGTTGGCCACAAGTTAGAAACATAATGAGAGGTTGGAGAGGAAAGGATAATAAGTGAGGTGTAGAAAAGAGCTGACAACAGGATAATGACGATCAACCAGTAAATGCTCTGTGTTTTTAACTCTTTGCCGGAAATACAAGAAGGAAGTACCAGTTTAATCTCCTCCAACTATAATAAGTTCCTTTCTGGCAGGAATGAAATGAAAACAGTAGGACATTTATAGGACATAAGAAAGAACATTGACCTATCATATTGTCCTAAGGAAAGAACCAACACCTAATGTTAAGTACATTCTTGGCAGACAGAAAATCCCAGGATCAATTCTCACAATTTATGAGTAGGTTTGAGAAGAGTGAGGAACTCTTGATCAACTTCCTGGAGAGCTTCAATCCTTAAGAGCAGGGGTGTCAAACTGCCGGCCCGCAGGCCGGTTTCATCATACCGGAGCTGCGCCCACCCCATTGCCGGCAATGGTGAAAAAGCTCCGATAGAGTTTGACATGCCTGCTTAAGAGTAACACAAACATCCCAGCTGCATGACCTCAAGGTGAGTTGCATTTCAACTTAACTAGGGAGTTCAGTGACTGAATAAGAGGTCTTCTCTTCTGTCAATCATATATTTCACCGTTGACCTGCAGGGCTTCCTCTTAACACAGAACCTAGATTTGCACGTTGTGTTAAGGCATCATTTGCCTAAACATGGTTCACCAAATAAATTCCAATCTTTAGATTCACACAACACACTAGGCCAAAACCAAATAAGGGAAACGCACAGCAGGTCAAATGAATCTAATTCTCTGGTTAACATTCCCAATGGGACATTCAGCGAGAAGTGTATGAGGTCTCAAGTCTCTTTAGACCAGTGTTTCTTAACCCTGGCAACTTGAAGATGTGTGGGCTTCAACTTCCTAAATTTTAGGACTTGACGTCCACACATCTTCCAGCTTGCCAAGGTTGAGAAATACTGCATTAGACTCTCGATTACTAGGGAATATTTCGTTACCTGTCCACAGCAATGGCTGTAAGTGTGAAAACAGACACATAGACGGTCATGGGCTGCATCAGGAACACAAAGTAACACAGGAACTTCCCAAAGATCCACCCCTGGGGGTCGAAAGCATATGCCAGAGTAAAGGGGATGCAGGTTGCACACATCAACATATCTGAGAAGGCCAAGTTTCCAATGAAGAAGTTGGTGACGTTGTGCATTTTCTTGGTCTTGCAGATGACATAAAGAAGAAGATAGTTGCCAAAGATGCCGACAAGCACCACCAAGGTGTAGCAGGGGATGATCAGAGGTTTGAAAGACTGGATAAGTTCCACACTAGTAAACTGGGAGCTGAAATTGGAGCTGTTCCTCAATGCTACCCCAGAGCCACTGCCATTAAAGAAGCCAGTATCCCAATAGCTGGTGGATTCCATGAGTCAATCACAGTAGAAGCTGGATTTGACCATAAGTAGAATAGACAGCGTTCACTTTGAGCTCCGTCTCACATTGTCTCTGCAAGTAGTTGACCTTCTTGGGGATCAACAATTAAGCAGGATTGGTTCTGCTTCAAATATGGATGGGCTGTAGACCACGCTGACAAGTTGAAAGAAAAATATTCCAGGAAGAGATAACAGCAGTTCACTTTTCTACTGTTCCACAGAATATTACGCAGATGTGTCCTAAAAGCCACTCAAAATCAGCTTGGATGGTAGAGTAGCCTTGACATTGTTTCACACCAATCAGATATGGAAAAACGAGATATCTATTAAATACAATGGGTGCTGGATTTTAGCCTGGTTCAGTTATCTATATTTCAGAAAATTCCTTCTGTCCTGATGCACTTCCGTATTCATGGGCCATCTTCTGAAGGACTTGCTTTGGAAGCCGCCAAGGAAATGCTTTCAAAGGCCTTTGAGTCCTTTCAGCTCATTAGGCGTCCCCTGCCTTTTAGCGCCGTCCCCTTCTTCCTCTGAGTAGCTTCTGTAGGCTCCTCCGTAACTTTACTCTTTCATCTCAAGATCACAACCTCCTTGTTTACTTTTTCAAGGGAAGGATTTTGCTGCAGGGATGCTTGAAAACAGCAATTTAAAAGAAGAAGAAGAAGAAAAGGGAGGGAGAGATTTAGAATGACAGGGAATCTGGTAAACAGCTTTCCCTAAAGACTGACAAACTGAAAAATATGTTAGCAGCATGCCAGGCCCCGAATTGCACTGATCAGAGCTGACAGAGCTGTGTTGCGAAGAGAGGGTGCTTGAAACATTCAGCAATAAATAAATAAATAAATAAATAAATAAATAAATAAATAAATAAATAAATCAAATGCTTTTCTAAAAATAGGAGAAAGGAAAATAGGAGTAGGAAAGTGTGTTGGATATGTTCACTGCCTTGAGTCATTTGTAAAAAAAATAATAAAGGCAGGATACAAATAAATAAGGGCAGCACAGTGGTTAAGACACTGAGTTTGTTGGCTGGAAAGCCAGCAGCCGAAGTTCAAGACCCAAGTGCTGCACAATGGGTGAGCTGTGGTCCTTGCCTCCGCTCCTGCCAAAGCATGCAAATGCAAGTAGATAAATAGGCACCACTTTGATGGGAAGGTAACAAGTACTCTGTGACATCATGCTGGCCATGTGACCATGGAAATACGAAATATACTCCGCCATGAGCTGTTATGAACCTCGGTCACAGATCCACCTGGAATCCTGAAGCAGATGGGGGCAATTCAGAGAGGTCATGTGGGTGTCTAAACTACTGACCTGGAATCTCCTTCAGAGATTCACGAGCATTAGAGAGCTAGAGAAATCCAGAGAGCGACCAAACTCAAACCCTGCACTGTTGTTTGTTTAATCATGGCTTGTGGAATCAATTGCTGATTTTATATGGAAACTACGTCAACCAAAGTCAAACCTTATGTAGCCTTTTGAGCAAACTAGATCAATTTATCTGAAAAATCCCTATGAATTAAATTTTGTTCTTCCGTAAATAGAAGATACCAGCTGGGAGAAGGCAAGAAGAAGATAAATCAATCCAACTTCTATTCCCAGGGACATCCAATTTCACTGTTTAGAGGAGATGCTAAGTGTTCTACAATGGTTGGTTCTCAGCTCTGCTTTTGATTTTTGTTAATTTTTCATCTGAGCACAAATGTTTGAAGAACTTTGGCAGTGCCATCGAGTTCCTTTTTCTAAAATCAGTTTTTTGTACCTGTTCAGGTCTGTTTGTTCTAGTGACAGGAAATCCGCATAAAGGAATGTAATTAGACATAGGAGCTAGGTACAGAAAAACAAGGTAAAATTATACTGCATTTCTTTCTTTATGGAATTCATGAACTTCCTCCATCTGCTCAGACTCTAGGAAATATAGAGATACTGATGACAAACCCACGAATATCACATTTTATCTGACAGCAACCACTAAGAGCTGGCTAGGTATTTCAGACTGAAGATCGTAGTTCTCTATTTGAATGGTCTGCTGGAGTTTTCTTTCCAAAATGTAGGGTTTAGGATATTTAAATTAAACATTAAATCTAAAGTAGTTCGTTATACTACAGTTTTATTATTCCTTCTGTATTCAGAAATATCCTTATAACTTTCCAATTAAAAAAAAAGTATTTCTCAATCTTAGCAACTTTAAGATGTGTGGATTTCAACTCCCAGAAGTCCAAACAGGGTGTCTGCAGAATTCTGGAAATTGAAGTCCATACATGTTGACTGGACAGTTAGATTCAGCAACAATTTGTGGGTTAGTCACCCTGCGATATACAAAGATCTGCATCACAGAATGAATGGGAAGGCTGCTGAACTGAATGATCCCCTTTGACAGTCATTAATGAAATAAAACACATTGTCATCTTAATGTCCAAGAGCCGTGGTGAATGCAGCATTTCAGATTCTGTTCGAATCTCATTGGCTCAAGGCTGACTCAGCCTTCCATCCTTCCAAGGCTGGTAAAATGAGGACCCAGATTGTTGTGGGCAATACGCTGACTCTGTAAACCACTTAGATAGGGCTGTAAAGCACTGTGAAGTGCTATATAAGTCTAAGTGCTATTGCCAGTGCTTTTTTTGTAAAAAAAAAAAAGTGCCGAACACACATGTCATACAACCCACCTTGCCTACCCTACAAAGTTCCATCCCAAAAAGGTGCCGGAACTCCGTTCTATGACAAAAAAAAAAAAAAAAAAGCCATTGCTATTGCTATCTTAAGTCCACTAAAGTTGACTCTCTAAAATTGTCTAACAATACACTGTAGATTAGGCAGATACTTAGACTGGATATATTTTAAGCGTCTACTTTTCTAGGTTTGTTTAGAAGTCTTTTGTTTATCTAGGCAAGGGGAACTGATATCACTTAATCATGCAACATTCAAAACATTTGAAATACATAATGGGGTTATATGAATGTATGAAATGTATCTGTAAGTTTTTAATAAAATAGGATTTCAACCTTAACAGAGAATTTCAGGAAGGAGGTAATTGAAAAAACCTATAAAAATGTTAATTACACCAGTGAGCTATCACCGAAAGGTAATATATTTTTCCCCTGATAAATGACACGGATTTATTTCCTGAATATGTTCTATAAAATATAGCAGAGTATCTGGAATGGAGTGGCTATTAAGAATTAGCACTTTTGAAGCTTAACCCTTACTAAGAGTACTTAGAAGATACATTCCCTCTGCTTGGTAAATTAAATTCTAAGTAAATATAACTTGCAACAGAGGCTAAAGTTCTTTTTCTCAAAGGTAAGCCCTATTGTTTTAATTAAGATTCCTTTCCTTTCAGGTTCTGCCCAGCCAAACTCCTAAAAATGCTCCAAAAAGCAGAATGCGAGCAAAAATCTTGCTTTTAGCTTATGTTCCTTCTCTCCCTTTCCTTCTCTCTTTTTTGAAATAATGCCGTTTCTGGATCATGTTTCGGAAATTTATTCTTTTGCCAACAAAATGCTAAAAAAAAAAAGAGATCCTCCTGCAAAAGCTGACTTAAAATCTTCACCATGCTTTTGAGACAGATTCCCTTCTTGTTAGTACTTGGCTAACAAGCTGATCAACATATAAATATCAATGAGATGTTTACTGACCTTTATAATAATTCAGGATGGGAAGCAAACTGAAGATGCCACGAGCAAAGGATCGGAATAACAGAAGGTGTGCATATCAGGAAGAGAGAAAGAACGTGCAGGTTGCATCCTGAGATACTATTTTCCAACTATGTACATTTCAGCTTAGTAGCTGAAGTTCTATGATAGCTTTCAGCTTGCTACTACCCTCTGCTGGTTACTCTTGCTTTAACTTTTTTTTCCCCAGCAGAATTGTGTTAACTTGTTGCAACAAAAATAAGAGACCTGGCTCACATAACCCATTAGTTATGGCCATGCAAACTGCAGCCTATTCATAAATTAATTTTTCTCTGTGCATGAAGGAATACTTTTTGATTTTCGTTTGCTTTGGTTTTGCTCACGGTTCTTATGTCTTCTTCTTCTTCTTGTGCCATATCCGTTATCGAGTGTTGGCGATCCTATTTTTATCAGCAGCCGCACAAAAAAGTGCTGCTGAGTTTTGTCCAAACCAGTCCCTTAGATTTTGAAGCCATGATATTCTTCTTCTGCCTGGACCTCGGTCTCATGTAGGACAACTATATCTGAGGTGCAAAACTCTGGATAACCAGGAGAGGACCACAAAGGCAGAGAAGAAATATCAAATCTTTGCTGCCATCTACTGGTTGGTAATATTTCTGCACTCCCGATATTGTAGCCATGTCCTTGGTTTATTTTAAATCTGGGGATCAAGTAAGATCTTAAGAGAGCGTTCTTGGGTTTGAAAATAAATGCATTGAGATTGTTTGGCTGTCTAGGGCAGAGGTCCCCAACCTTTTGGGCACCAGGGACCGGTTCCTTGGAGAGAGGTTTTTCCGCGGACCGGAGGGTACATGGTTTTGTGTGCTGCCTGCATCCCGTGGATGGGGCTTTGCTTGTTCAACAAGGTTTAGCATCTACCTTGTTGTCTGAACAGAGCCTAGTTGAGTGAATTTGATAATTCATTATTTTTTTCATTTAATGTTTATCCTATTTTCAATGCACCCTGGCCACCTTTTCAGGGCAATGCTATTTAAACATTGGATGACAATTTTGGACTTTCAGTACATTGCAATAGAGTTGGCCTCTTGTTTTTTTGTTGGTTAAGGAAACATAGCATTTGGGATTTGTAGAGCATGGCCTATTTAGCCATGGTGATTTTTTTTTCTTCCACAAATTGTGGTGAATCAAACAATGGAACCAATCTAGCCTTGTGGCAGCTGAAAGATAAACACATTTAGTATAAATAAACTCTGATGGATTAGAGCTGTCTGCTGCATGGAATTACAAGTGAACATGCCTAATGGGATTAAATTGGGACTTAGTCATGCTTAGAAGCATGGAACCAATCGTTTCCATGAAAGTCTTTAAAGCAGAGCCCTGATGTGTAAAGAAAGCAGGGAACAAAGACGAATGAATGGAAACGGGAGAGGTACAATTACTGAGTGTGAGCATTAACAAAAGAACCTCATTGTGTCTGTGTACCTTTCTTTCTAAGGACTTGCACCTTTCATCTGATAAAGCAGACTGTGAGTCATGAAAGGTTAATGAGGAGTTGATCTTTAATGTGCCACAAGATGGTTTTGCTACAAAGGTTGTGGAAATTGCCCTTTTGGAAGCTGTTGGCCAAGGGAATGCCAACACTAGAAGGTGGTTACAGAAAATCATCCCAGCATTTCAAGAGTCAAAATTGCCAAATGCATCCCTCTCAGTTCTAATTCTGAAATAGATATGTATTCATTAGGTGTAGATTAATCTTCATTTTTAGTGAGGCTACCATCTGGCTTTTTTTTTTTCCAGACAAGCAGTACTTCTGTTCTAGACAGATGCTCATCCTAAGTGATACGCAGCCACAAGAGTAAACTGAGCTCTGTGAACATCAGCAGAATCTCGTGATTACACCTCATATTTCCTTAACTGTTGCTTCAGTGGACTTTAGCGGCAGGAAAGCAAAACAAGACTGGAAGAACTGTTGAAATTTGTGTTTATCACTCTGGTTTTCTCTTAACCTTGACTTTGTATCAGTGGATCAAGGCTGAAGACTCTGAGTTTTCTCATGTGTTGAAATAACTGTCAAGGGTGCTGATGCACTTAATTTAATTTATGCAACATGTTTCCTGAGACCTTTCATGGGTACCAAGTGCTTGAGAGATGCTCTTTATTGGGACTAATTTAACGAAGTGGCCCATTTTGTTAATTAATCCCTCCCCCCTTCCTTTCCCTGCAAAGTTCTTCAGCATGGTATCTGTAATTAAGCATGCATCCTTCTCCAGCTTTCTTCATCCCAATGGATTGTGGTACCATTTCCAAGTAGCAGTTGAATATTCATGCCAGCAAAAAGGATCTCCATCATAATGTGGGAATAGCACCATGATGTGTTCTATAAGCAACCAGTTAGTATACAGTACTGGGTTCATATAGTTCACCAAATCTTAATGTGATTGGTTTGGTTTGGGCTTGGTGGGAATATGTGAATGGGACAGTAAAAAAAATGGGCTTGTTTTAGGACACTAAACTTCTATTTAATTCTGCAATTAAACTGTAGGCAGTTGTAATTTCATGTCATGTGAGAAAGGGGAGGCATGGTTTGTAATTTCCTGACTTACTGCTGATCCGTTCTAGTTCTTATTTAAGTCTATAGCCAATTCTAAGGGAGGAACGGAAGAGCAGGTAGAAAAGGAAAAACATCTGAAGCAGAAGCTGACTAAATTAGCCATGATTGTTTTATTCATCTGTAAAACGGACTTTGGCTTTGTCTGGTGCAGAAACTATTCCAACCCTTGCTCAAGCAGAAAACCCTGCACCATTTCAGACAAGTGGTTGTCCAATCTCTTCTTTAAAACCCCCAGCCACAACTTCTGAAGGCAAGCTATTCCACTGATCAATTGTTCTCACTGTCAGGAAATTTCTCCTTGTTTCTAGGTTGGTTCTCTCCTTGATTAGCTTCCATCCGTTGCTTCTTGTCCTGCCTTCAAGTCTTTGGAGAAGATGAAAATTGTGGTCCAAAACATTTGGGGGTGCCCAAGTTTGGAAAGATTGGTTCATAGTGGCTACGTGCAGATGGAAGTGCTACTTTCTCAGAAGTGTTTTGCTGTTGCTTTCTTTTTTTCAGAATCCATCTAATATACTATCCTTGTAATCTCTCACCAAAGTTCTAACCAAGACGTAATTCTGATTAGCTCTTTCAGGTTCAGCCAAAGTCGGTTGGGATCTAAATTCTTCATTTGGAGATGCCAGTATTGAATTGGGGACTTTCTTGGGACATGAATAGTATCTATTGGACCTCTCAATTACAACCATATCTTATGAAAGTTGCTTTAGATAAGCTATCAGACTCAAACAAACAAAAGATTAAACAGTTCTGTAACCCCCATAACTATTTAGCAGTAGTTATTTTATCTCAGATGCATATAAGTTGTCCTCATTTAACAACCAGTCACTTAGTAAACATTTGAAGTTAGGAGAGACTCCAAAAAAGGTACTTATAACCCAAATTTGAAGTTCCAACTTCAGACTCTCATGGGGATTGCATTTTAGGTGCTTAGCAATGCTCTGCATTTATGGCTAAGTTCATGTGGTCACATGATCATAATTTATGAATTCTTTTGCCCCAAATCCATGTTTACCTTTGGTTTTGAGCAAAAAAAACCCACCCATTGCTGATAATGGGTTTGCTTAATGACTGATATTCATTAATGGCTGCAGCATTTGCTTAAAAACCAACACAAAAAAAAAAAATCAGAAAATTGGATTGGTCATGTGATGACTCACTTAAATACCAACATGACTTACAATCGTAATTTCATGCTCAATTACGGTCATAAGTCAAGGACTACGTATATGTGGTTTGCAAACAAGTAGGGTTTTTTTTTCCTCTCCAAGCTGTATTTCTTTTGAAGTTGAACCTGCCTCCGAGCAAGTGAGTTCCAGTGCAGAAAAGTCTATATAATAATAAAAAGGCAGATTCAATATTGTGTGATCCTTTCCCTTTCGTTTGTTCCCTTTCTCGAAGGGTGCAAAGCTAGACTGTGAAGCTAATTTTAAATGGAAAGCAATCAAAAGAAGAAAATGAATTACTTAGTTGCACCACCCTACTTAATAGCCTTAGACTTTGTTTCTTCCTTTTTGTAATAAAAGAAAGGTTACCGGAATCTGATTGCTCGAGCTTATAAAATTTTGCAAAATGAATATACTTTTCAGTTCTGATGGAATGCTACATCCAGGAAGAAAGATTCACAAAATCTTAATGATTTTCTACCCACCTGCTGTTGGGGACAATAATGACTGTCAATTTGTGCTCAGTTATTAACACCCCTACTTTCCTGCCGTGAAACAGCAGAACAAATTTTTACCTCTTAATGGGATTTTATCTAGGCATTGGCTGAGAGCTGCAGGGGGAACCATAAGGAGTGCGGGCTGGGGCCAAAGGGGCACTTTGCAGATGGGAACTCCTTATACCAGCATTAGTCATCACTTGAAGAGCTCATGGCTACATTGGGGAGAACACATCTGTTCTGCCCAGAGCTTGCATGCAAAAGTCACTGTCAGTGACAAATAGCGGAACTGGTGGATCAAAGTCTTGGAACAAGGCTAGCAAGTTGCATCAGTATGAAGGCAAGGAGGACTGGGATTTTTTTTAAAAAAAACTCCATAAGACCACTAGATGGCAACAAAGAGTTTGTCGTATCTCTGTGCTTCCATCTAGTGGTTTGCCCTAGATGTATACCTAGAAGCTATTTTCCACCATCACTGCAAACAAGTTCTTGGTATCCTTTTTTAACAATGGAAGACCCAAAAGAAGACCCTCTGTCTGTTGGCTGGGAGATGGCCAGTGACCTGCCTTAACAAAATTAATACAACTGGAGAGAATAAGATTGTGGAATGATTGTCTTCAGTCAGGAAGACGGAGCCATTTTTTGAACTTCAGTAATTCAGTCAGGAGTCTTTTATTCTTTGATTAATTGCAAAGGCAGATTGGCTTTGGAGAATATTCCATGTACATTCAGTACAAAACTAAACTTAGAATACTTGCTATAACTGTAGGTAGGAATCCTTTTGCTTTCTTACTGCTTGAAGAGGAAAATAAAAATGCAACATGTCTATGGATATCCTCAATCATC